GGCGTTTGACCCCTGAGCCACACCTCAGGAGCATGAGATGCTCGGGAACCACATGGAACTGCTTTTAACTACTGAAAGAATGGGAAAATACACTGTGTACCTTGTCTCCAACACATGCAGAAACAAAATGGAGTAATAACAGTAGTCTAGGAGAGAGTTAAGAGGTGTGAACAGGACCCCGAGACAAGTAGAGAACACAAGCAGAGTGATAGATTGAGTCCTCAGTGTATCATTAATTACAGGAGACTTGACTGCATGCTCCAGTTAAAGGACAGGTTCTGTCATAATACACCCAGCCGCATGCAGTTGGAGACACAGCTGAGAACAATAGAGAAAAGGTGAAAGTGAAAGGATTGAAAATCATATTGTGTGCCAGTACCAATCAAAAAATATAATTGTAGGGCCAGGGAGTTCGATCCCCTGTACCAAACAAACAAAATATATGTAATTGTATTAATATGGGAATAGTTTTTAAATCAGGAAGATAGCAGGGTGTAGTGGTGCATAACTAATCTCAGCTGTGGGGGGAGGGTTGCTGGGAGTTCAAGGCCAGCCGGCACTACATAGGTCAGGGCCAGCCTGAACTACAAAGTGAGACCCTGCCTGAAAAAAAAAGGTAAAAGTGGATGCCTTCTAATGAAAAGGAGGTAAAAACTAAAATTAAAAACCAAGATATGTCATGTAAAGGTACAAGATCCCAATGATGAATGTAACTATTGTGTACCTAAAATGTATCAATAAACTAAATGGAAAAAAACCCCCCAAAATGACCACAAAGGTTTCAGGGGTCCCCCGTAATTGGCATTCATCCTGGTGAATCGCCTTCTCAGACCACTCAAAAAAAAGATTTAAAATTTGTACTTGATAACATGGCCTGAAAATACATTGAGTGAAAAGTGCTAAAATTACAAAAAAACACAGAAATCACCAGCCATAGTGGGGTGATTTTAACATTTTTATTGCAAAAGCCACCCCAAATTACTAAGGATGTAACATGAACTGGATGTAGTAGATTTACATGAAATTTGCGCAGTAACTGACAGAAGACTTACCAGGAATTGTAGTTAAGGTTTGCAAGGGAATAGATTTAATACAGGACACACAATTTGTAGGATTATTTCATAGTCACACAAAAAGTCAAATGCAGAGGAGGGCAAGAGATCTGTCCACGCGCAGAGTTCCAGCTGGGGCCTGGGCCCCATGGCAGTGTCCCATGCAAGCCTGTATGGAGGCTCTGCGCCGGGGAGAACCCCAAGTTCTAACCCAGACTGCCAGCTTGAGTGTTAGACCCCAACTCAGAGTAGAGAGGCTAGGTGTGTAGTTCAGTGTGAGGGCCTGGGTTCAGTACCCAGTTCCACAAAAACAAAAACCACCAAAAGGTGTGCCTTACCTAGTTAAACATTTGTGGTTTGCAGCTCTTGCATAAGGTAGCACCGACTGCATTTTAATTACCAGGATTCCAAACTTGATGCTGTTAGGGTTGGTTGTACTTAAGTTCTTATTTCTTCATTCTCAAATGCCTCTTGGCTTTGCTTTGTTTCGAGGCAGGATCTTGCTCCATAGTTCAGTCTGGCCTTGACTCACTATGTGGCCAGGCCTCAGCCTTCCGAGTGCTGGCGTTACAGGCGCCATGGTGCCTGGCTACCTTTGCTGTATTTGAAGTGAAGTATTTGCTACAGGTCAATAAAGAAATACATGTCTTCCTGAGGTTTACAGGCCATGAAGGAGACTTGTTTACAGAAGACAGTAAGTACAGTTTAGGGTGAAATGCTGCAATACATAGATGAAGAGGGCATTGGGGTCAGAGCTGAGGGTCATCTGATTGCATAAGACAGATCAAGCAAAGATTCACCAGAGGGATGGTGTTTGAATTGAGCCGGAAGAGGGAAGAACTGTGTCAGGAAGGTGGAGAGGGAGGGAACATTTAGGAGGGGTTAGCAGTGTATGTAAAAGCTGGAGCCTGGCTTATTGGAGAATTTATTTAGTTTAAGTGAGAGATCAGGCAAGGAAAATGGAAGAAAGGAAGAAAAGAATTTACTTGAGGTTTTCATACTATGTTGAAGATGAAAAATTGAGTACGGATTTCTCATCTTTCACGTGGAAGAAGAGTATCGTGCAGTTGTCATTTAAAAATTATGCCAGTATAGCCTTAGAGAGGAGACTGAAACGGGTAGGACTGGAGGCAGGAGGGCTGTTAGGGTGTTGCTGCAGCTAAGTGGTAAGAGGGTGACTGTTTATACTGACAGGCAGCCCCGAGAACGAGAGGGAGGGACAGCCCCGTGTGAAGCTGCGCTTTTGGGCAGAGTAAGCTTTTGTTTCTGGGTCTGATTTGTGGACAAGTTTTATTTAACTTTCTGGATTACATTTTGTGTGGTAAATTATCACAGAATGTGAATGGAAACTTAGGAAGCTAAGTTTGTTTTTTGGGGAGGGTGTGCTGGGTTTTGAGACCAGTCTCACTGTAGTATAGGCTGACCTTTACTCAGGATCCTCCTGCCTCGGCCTCCTGAGGGTAGGGATTACAGGCCTGGCTGAGTTCAGTATTTCGTAAAGGAGGAAGGTGCCCTTTCTCTGGACCAGTCAGGTTGGGAATTGATACTTAGCCACGCTGATTTTTTTCTCTTACTACTAAGCTGATCCTTAGATGGTTCCTGATTTGTTATGAGTGGATGATTGTATTTAAAATTGTTCATAAGTGTGTTCACTTAGCGATTGAGTGGAACATGTTGGTCAGTAGTAGAAAAACTGCACTTTGTTGAGTCCTTGATTTAAAAAATTCAACTGAGAATTGAGGTCAGTTTTTTCATATCAAATTATTTTATTGTACATTTTAGATGTACATAATAACATTCATCATAGGGAATTTGTACCTGTACATTAAAAAGGAAAGTAGAAAAATTACTGACACAGAGTTTCTTTAGTGTCTTTGGGAAATAGGTAATGAGCTGACTAGCTTCACATGTAAAAATACCTTCAGTGAAAGTGTTTTCTTCGTTGTGTATTCCATTTTAAGCTAGTAATCAACAATGCTTTTCTAAAACCAAAACCACTTTTTTCCTTTACCTTGTCATTCTTATTCTTATGCAGGTAAATTTTGTGAACATTATGTCATAGAATTTTGAGGAGATACCTAAAGCTGAATAAAGGACTTGAGATTTTGGGAGACTTGAAGTTTGTCGTTTTAAAACATAGCTTATACCAATAATTAGGCAACTATTAAAGACTCATTGTTCTTAATGTTGTGAGCAATTTTTCTCTTTTCTGGAGACATTTTTCAATGCACGATTGTTAACAGTTTGCATTATTGTGGTTTCCATAGCTCACCTAGGAAGAGTGCTGAGGTGTGAAAACTCCTAAGTCCCATACAGGCCTCGTCTCTAATGGCAATTTGCACTTCTGATTCATAGGTTTGAAGAATACAATGGGAGTTATATCCCTAAACCTTTTTTTTGGGGGGTGCCCCTAATAATTAAGATCAAGAGGCTTACTATAATTCAGGGTTTCTTAAGTTGACTTTTTATTTTTAAATTTGGTGAATTCGTTGGTAGTGTTATCTGTTTTGTATGACCTCTCGCAGGGATTGCCAACAAATCTCATTTTGTTCCACCTTTAGGGAGCAAGTGTATGTGTGTGTGTGTGTTGCTGGGCATAGTGGCTCTTGCTTCTGATCGAACCTTCTCTGGAGGCTAAGGCAGAAGGATTGCACGTTTGAGGCCAGCCTAGGCCATTTAAGTGAGATCCTGCCTCACCAAAGAAAAAGGGTCAGGGATATAGCTCCATGGCAAAGCAGCCCTGGGCTTGATCCCTAGTGTGGCTAGCTAGCCATCATTGTGGAAGGTTTGGTCAAGGTAAGATATTGGGGAAACGGAAAACGTAGTTACGCCTGTTTCATCTTGCATATGACCCCTTCATGATGTTTAGCTAATAATTCTTTATATGGTGAATTCCGCAAAGCTGCTACTATCTGAATAAATATGCATCAGTTTTACTCAACAAAGTTATTTTCAGTGATCATTGTTGGTTTCTTTTTATGTAATGCCGAGCTTTTTAGGCTGGCAGGGTTGCGTGGAGCGTCATTTTGAGGCCACTCTGTCGTCAGACTCCGCAGCATACCTTCCACGTCTTCATCCTCTGCTCATCTTTGCACTTTCACTATCTGCTGTTCATTTACAAGCTGCATTCCTATGTGGCCTGAGGACCTTTGATGTCCCTCCCTTCCCTTGCTTCTTTTTCCTCTTCTTCCCTGTCCTCCTCTTCTCTTTCCTTTAGCCTGTATTCCTTACTAACAGTGCTTTTGTTCCTCCACACTTCTTTTCATTTTCTTTGTATGTTTTTGGTAGTGGGGATCAAAGTTGGGACCTTTCGCTTGCGAGGCAGGCGGCGGAACCACTGAGCTACATCCCCGGCTTTCTTTCTTTCTTTTTGAGACAGGGTCTTGCTGTGTAGTTCAAGCTGGTCTTGAACTCACTACGTAGCCCAGGCTGGCCTTGAACTCTTGGTGATCCTCCTGCCTCAGCCTCCTGAGTGCTGGGATTACAGCCTCCACACTTTCCTAACTCAATCTTTAAGGTTTATTTCAGTGTGGTGCATTCTTTTGTATCTCCCTCTGCCTAGGCAGCAGGAGGGGCTGTGTCCCTTGTTCTGTTGTGCGATGCCTCTGCTACTAGCAGTTATTATTCATTTCCTACCTCGAAGAGCTCTGAATAACCTGAGGTCTGGGGGTGGGTCTTAATGATTACAACACCCAGGGATTAGTAGTATTTAAATTGTTTGCCAAAGGAACAGAGAAGTGTGTGATACATTAGCAGCCCAAAGCATCTGAAACCTGATTGGAGAAGATGTCAAAGGTAGAGTGCATATCCACCCTCCTGGGGCCTAGAAACCAGGGCTTCCCTGACTTTGAATTTGCCAGTGAGATTTCTGAAGGACCTGAAACCACTTTGAAGTAAAAATTTTTATGTTGTTATACTTTCTAATTTAATTTTTGTTTTTAATTTTAGGAAACACTCCTTTACATCTTGCTGTGATGTTAGGAAATAAAGGTTAGTATTTTCTTTTTTATGTTAAACTTCGTGCTTGTTTAGTCAGTTTAAAATTTCTAAGATCACTTTTGTTAACCTATCTGTAATGGAGCATAGGCTGTAGTATATTAAAATGAGTATTTTCCTTAGCCTTTTTTTTTTTAAAGAATTAGAGAAAATCTTCTACTAATCTTCATGTCATATAAAACTTTTTTTCTTGATTATTTTGTCAAACATCTTTATAATTTTAGAAGACTAATTTCCAAATATTAACTTTAACTAACTATAATACTTTTAATATGAGAAGAATTTTGTCAGATTTTTAAAAAATGTACTATTTGGTATGTCTTGACGCAGTTGAGCCTTTTGTATTATAAATGAATTGTAAAAGGGTGATTCTTGTATGTTCTTTAAAAAAAACCACAGGTAGGTGATTTAAAAGATCTACTTTTGAGCTTGGTGTGGGGGTGCACATCTGTAATCCCAGCACTCAGCAGGCTGAGGCAGGAGGATCTCTGTGAGTTCGAGGCCAGCCTGAACTGCATAGCAAGACCCTGTCTTGGGGGGGGTGGGTGGGAAGAAATCTTCTTTTCTATGTTACTGCTGTATGTAATGCAGTTTTAGTTACCTGGATTCCCAGTTATTCTGAAAAGTGAGGATTTCAGATAGGTGACTGAAAGCCCTCTGAGTGCTAGATTTTAAAATTTCAAATCTTCGATAAGAATTTTTAAAAACTCCAGTCCTGTATTTTTAAACGGGCTAATGAATGTAACATTTTTCTTTCTAATGATCTAAAAGTGCATGAACAACCCTCACCCTCATGTGGCGTAATTTATGTTTGCAGAAGCGTTGGATCTGACTGCTGATTCCAGGGTGCTCTTTGGGGAAGCGGTTGTTTGCTTTTAGGTAGAACAGGAGAGCTGCGCAAACTCTGTTTGGTTTTAGTTCTGCGAAGTCCGGTGGTGACTCAGATCTCTGTCTCTCTCCCACAGTGTGGTCCTTCTCTTCTCCACCTCCCCTTTCCTTCTCCCAGGCGATCCACCCATTGGAGTAGCTTCTCAGTAAAGACAGATTCATTGGCTGTGCACGGTGGCACCTGTCTCTAATCCCAGGATTTAGGGAGGCTGAGGCAGGAGGATTGGAAGTTTAAATCCGCCTGGGCAGTTTAACATGTAGCAAGACCATCTCACAAAGGGTGGGGGGAGCTGGGAGATGTAGGTCAGTGCGGAGGCCCTGGGTTCAATTCCCAGTACCCCTCAGCCCCAGATATTCATTAAAAGGGTACATATTGGAGAACTCAAGAAATTTGGATCAGCCAGGTCTCAGGAAGAACAGGAACCAAGGATTTTTTAGTGATTCAGTCATATTCTCCTTCCTGTCTATCTCGTACAGTGTGTGTCCTGTTCTTTACATATCTGTAACCTTCTGTCTGGTTTCGTCTTTTTTTTTTTTTTTTTTTCCTGGTACCGGGGATTGAACTCAGGTCCTTGCGCTTGCGCAGCAGGCGGCGAAACCACTGAGCTAAATCGCTGGCCCTCTGGTTTCGTTTTTTTGAGATAAGGTCTCGCTATGTAGTCCAGACTGGTTTTGAACTCACCATGGATTTCAGGCAGGCTCAGACTCATAGCAGTCCTTTTGCCTCAGCCTCCCAAGTGCTGAGATCGCAGGCGCGCACCACTGTGCCCGGCTCCTCTTCTCTTGATTGAGTTTGTGTTTGCTGAAATTGAAATTGACCTGAAAGAATTATTCTGAGAGCCTAAGTCTTAATGACTTTTGTCATTAAGAAAGTTATTCAGTTTTTACATTTCAAAATTTCTGAGCAAAATGGTTTGTTTTTTTTTGGTACTGGGGATCGAACTTGGGACCTTGGGCTTGCAAGACAGGCGGTGGAACCTCCGAGCTAAACCCCCAGCCCATGAGCAAAATGTTTGATTGGCCCAGTTCATCTCCAGCCAAGTCAAAAATGCTGGGTGATGTCAAGCTCATGAAACGAGCTTTGTCTAGGCTGCCTGGGAACGGGGCCTGGGGTAGGAGGAAGGATGTTCAGTGGAGAACACTGCAGCCCGGAGAGAGCTCTAGCATAGCTTCCGTGGAAAGAATGTGTCAGATGGGCCCACTGCGTTTATTCAGTTAGAAACTCAAGCTGGTCTTCCCCAGAGAAGATTGCATCAGAACTGTAGAATGTGTCTAAAACACATCGATCATTCATGATAATACCCCACATGCTGTTCTTAATACTTTACACGTCATTGATTTAACTCTTTCTTAAAACACTGTATTATTATCCACGGCTTACAGGTGAAAAACAGCCCTAGGCAGTTAGCAACTCTCTCATTGTAAAGTAGCAGAGGTGTTTCGTTGGTGTTTTGGGTTTTTTTGGTACAGGGGATTGAAGTCAGGACCTTGCGCTTGCGGGGCAGGCGTGAGGTAGCAGAGTTTCAATTGTAACTTGCAGTATCTGGCTCCAGAACCTTGGATTTATGTGTTGTGCCTGGCGCAGTTCTCGCTGAGCATCGCCTGGGGCTGTGGCCTGTGCCGGAAGCGGCTCCTGTCGGCTTGTGGAGTCTCCTTGCCGCTCTGGGATCTTTCGGAAGATAGCGTGTGAGAAGACGGCAGTGTGGATTTAGCCGCGTCTGAGCGTGGACTGACACTGCCTGCCACCCTTGCTGTATGCCTTGTAATTTCGATGACGTCCTGTTGCACTCAGTCATAGCTGTGTATCAGCCCATTCCAGAATGTCCCATAAAATAGTAGTTTAGTGACGGGTTGGTTGATAGGAAATTAAAAGCTTCCAGGTTAAATTGATTTGAAAATGTCAGTTTAGTAGAAGTTAAGTAGTTTTCTTTATTGTGGAACTCCTTAGGACTTTGTCCACGCAGGGCAGGTGTGGCATAAGGTGCTCAGGGCTCCCCACCGTTGTGTGTGTGATCTTTGATCTCTTTCACAATTACCTTGAAAGACCAGCGTTCCCGGGAGTGATGATTCCGGCTGTGCAGTGTTGGTGTTTACTCTTCCGGAGTGGTTTCCTGTAGAGTGGGAGCCACAAACATCACACTCGGTCATGCACATTTTCCCAGCCCCGCACCCCTCTCTTCTTTCTTTAATGGGCTTTTGTATGGTTTTGATACTGGGTTGTGGAAGAGTGCGCCTGAAATGTGTAGAAAAGAAGAGATCTACTTTATGTGCAGCTTTGTAGATTGCTTTTACATTACACCTGTTCAGTCTGTGGCTCTTCTCTTCTGAGACACCGCTTCAGTGATTTCATGGTTGAGGGACAGTTTCTGTTTGCATGTTTGTTTGTAAACACAGTAGAACTTTCCTGAAGCATTTAAATACTATTTGTTGATTGAAGACAAGGGAGATAGATACTTTAGGACTTTGATTTAGTCCCTTTTATCACTTATCTTCTTTTGTATTTTTGGAGACAGGGGTTTTTCTATGTAGTCCAGAGTGGCCTCAAACTCGTGGCAATCCTCCTGCCTCAGCCTTCCAAGTGCTGGGATTACAAGTATGTGTCACCACGCCTGACTTTATCATACACTGTAACCTACCAAATTACTTTATTTTACAGAAATCTGATTTTTTAAAAAAAAAATTCTGCATCTATTGACAAAAGTTGGCCATATTGCCTGGAGATTTTTAACTATGGATTTATTTATACTTAAATAAGGAAGATTTCATAAATCTTTAGGAGGTGTAATCAAAAATAAATCTTTAATTCTCATTCTTTAGAAGTATGAGCGAAGATTTCTTTAAATCAGTTGCTCCAACTTTTAATTCATTCTTAGTCTTTAGTGCAATTCTAAATTTTTTTCCTTGAAATAAGTCTGGATTAATCGATTCCCAGGCTCCTGAAGATCTTGCTGGATGGCCTGTTGTGTTCCCAGCCACCCTGCTTACCCCATCCACTCTGGGTTTGATCACCTTTCCAGCACTTGCTTATTTACGTGTGACTTTTATTGTGCATAATTAGAGTTTGTCTGTAGCCCGCAAGTCTGGACTTCTGTATGACATGTTTACACATTCGTGAAACCTCAGTGGCCAGTTGTTGTCTGCCTCATTTTCTTATTCTTCTTTTTGTTTTTGGTAACGGGGATTGAACTCGGGTCCTTGCGCTTGTGCAGCAGGTGGTGAAACCACTGAGTTAAATCCCTGGCCCTTATTCTTCATTTTTAACATTGCTGAGAGTAAACATTCGCTTGATCCAGTGTCCTGTTTCTCATGTATGAGTATGTGCTGAGTGCTTGGCGTAGCTATGACTATCTGATATTGTTAGAGACTCATCTCCACTCCAGGTGAGTAGTGGGGAGCTGTTCTCCAGGTCTGTGGCATATCAGAGAGCAGAGTGATACCGAAGTCTCTTGCTAACCCGGTACCACATGCAGCGGGGATGCTGATATGACACAGTGCCCTTGTGGAGCCTGCCATTTAATAGTTTTAAATTTAAAACATTCTGTGAGTGATTCCTTGTTATTAGTACACACATATGGAAATAATACAGTGTAAAGAAAGAAGAGCATCCTCTCTTTCCTCCTTTTTCTGATCCAATCAACGCTAATAGCCTGGGGACATCCTTTTATACCTTACTCCTTTCTCCAAGGGGCTTAGTTTGTGTTCGCTGAAGCAGAATTACAACACATAGCACTTTGCTACTGTACTTTCCTTTTCACTCAAAAATCTGTTGTGAAATAGCCCTGGAAGTCTTTAGATATCTTGCGTGCTTGTCCCCCCCTTAGTTTCTTTATGTGCGCACACATATGTACATGCTTTCCTAAAATTCAGTGGTAGCGTTTTTGGGGGAGAGGGTCCATTTTTTTTAGTCCTTTTTAAAATTCTTTTTAGCTTGGCTGTCCATCATCTCTTTTTACTAGTCACTCGCTCCTCGTAAACATGATGACCTGAGATAGAACTTGTTGAATGTGCTTCCAGTTTTTAGCCATGCTAATTATGTACAAATATGTGCATATTTGTCTGAACACACCTGCTCATGTATATGATAAATTCTTTAAAAATTTAGTGATACATTTCTGCTTTTGGTAGATATATTGTATCACTTATACATTGTAAAAATTTCTTTAAATATCTTGGAATAGTTCTAATTCATTTCTTTTTTGACATTTAAAAAACATTTCTCTTCCTTTTTTATTCAACATTTTATTAGAGAAAGCTTTACATATACAGAAAAATTGTAAGACTATCTCAGTGAACCCTTATACCCTTCAGATAGACTCGATTATGGTAGTACTAGTTCATATGCTTTCATCTTTGGGTGTTTCATATGTCATTTTTTCGTACGATTTAAAAAGTGTAGACATTATCCGAGCGGGTGGCACACTCGGGAGGCTGAGGCAGGAGGATCACTGTGAGTGCAGGCCGGCCTGGGCTACATAGCAAGACCCTTTATCCAAAATGAAAAGCCAGAGACATGACATTTCACCCCTGCATACGCCAGCAGGTAGGAATAAGGACGTTCTCCTTTATAATCACATTATCACACTGAAGAATATTAATAGTTGACCAAAATGAAGTTCACTCATTGCATTTGGTTGTTATGTCTTTATTGTAATATAGAGCAGTTGTACACCAGTTTTCCTCACTTTGTGCCTAAACTTTTCAAAAAGTCTGATCCAGTTGACTTTTAGAATGTTCTCAGTCTTGGGTTTGTCTGATTATTTTCTCATGACATTTTAAAGTCTTGAAAATTAGCCATAGGGATTTGTTGAGATTAAGTTAAATGTTTCTGGAAAAAATACTTCATAGGTGATGTTGAAATTTGTATTGCATCACACTAGGGAACATAGAATGTTAAGCTATTCCATTACTAATGCTGCTGAGTTAAATGTTTCATAATGATCTCCAGAGATAGCCACTGTAAAGGAGTATTTTTCTGTTTGTAATTAGTAAATAATTTGGGGGCAGCACTTTCGTACCGTGTAAATACCCAGTTTTATTTATAGCACATAACTTTTTACCTAATGGTTTTAGCACTCATTGAGGAAGATTGCCTCTGTGAGTTACTACATTGGATGCTGTAGTACATCAGTCTTCCAGTTTTATTATCTGTTAAGCTGGCATTACATTATCTGCAGAGAACTCATCACCTTTTACCTGTCTGTCTTTCTCTCTGTCTTTGCAGTTCGGGGATTGCACCCTGGGCCTTGGCACTGACCTGCATTTCCAGACCCTTTGTATTTTGAGACAGGGTCTCGCTAAGTCACTGACTTGCCCAGGCCGCATTTGAACTTGTGCTCTGCTGTGCCTCCCCAGGTGCTGGGTTGCCGCTGTGCTCCACTGTGGCCAGCGGACCCTTCCTTTTATTTTTGATGTCAGTTATTTATTTTTCAGTGTGTTCTAACTAGTTATTCTAGCTGTTACTCTTTCTTGCCCACTTTCTCAAATTTGGTCAGTGACTGACTGCTCCGGCTGGCCCCACTGTCCCTTTAAAGTGATGCTCTTCTTTACACTGTCAGCGGATCCTCCAGCATTGTAGATGCAACGCGTGTCTATTATTATGTAGTAAACATTTTCTTCAGTATGTTTGTCACCACAAACACTAAAATAAACATCCTTGTCCATACTCTCAGGTACTACCGTATTAACAGTCCTTGTTAAACACATCTGTGAAATTTCTGCACTTATTTTACTTTACTCTAATAAAGATCGCTGCTAGTACAGGTTTCCCTCCTCCTCTCCCTAGGAATAGTGAGACAGAGCCGATCCTCCCCACCCTCGGCCCTACACCACACTGTCACACGTCTCCCCTCAGAGCTCTGACTGTATGATTTTTCTTTTCTATTCACTTATTTGCTCCCAACATAGGATATGAGCTCTGTGGTAGTAAGACATTATTCTCCTACTTCACTGCTTACATCTGGTGCTTGGTAGGTAGTTAGAAATGGCATGAAGTAAACACTTGGTAAATACTTACTGACTGCTCAAGTGAATGAATATGTGATTCAGTTTTCCTCGAGTCTGTTTTCTTTTGCTTGTTAGTGGACTTCTGGTTTTTAATTAAAAATTTTTTTTTCTCTACCTATAGAATACTTAATTCTGATTATTTGGAAAACTGTCTACTTTGGTCCTTATAAGCAGAGTTTTACCCTTTTGGGGTCTAGTTCCAGCTAAAAATTAAAAAATTTGAAAAATCAGCGTTTATGGAAACATTGTTGATCTTTTCTGAAATCATTTTTTTCTGAAATAATGAGCTTTCCTGTGACATTACAGACACACGGATCCACTTATGTGTTTCATGGGTTACAGATAATTTGGATGCAAATTGCTCTTGAGATTTGCAGATTATCTTAGAGTATGGAAGCACTCTCAGAACCTCTTGGAGACAATTGTGAGGGAGCATAATACAATGTTTGCAGAGAGATCCAAGTTATTTTTAGGTAGTGGAATGGGTGCTTCTAAATCTGGAGGTCTGAAATAACCTAACTTAGCTACATAAAATTAATTATATAGTACAGTATTTTACAAATACATGTATTATTAATTTGTCTTGCTAAACTTCTGCACGATACTTTTATTGAGAGATTCTGAAAGTTGTGTGGTGTTTGATGGCCTCTGTTTTGCATTGCAGAATGTGCCCACTTGCTTCTGGCTCACAATGCTCCAGTAAAGGTGAAAAACGCTCAGGGATGGAGCCCTCTGGCGGAAGCCATCAGCTACGGAGACAGACAGATGAGTAAGTGCCAGCCGGTGTGGGGAGGAGCCTGCGCTGGAGTAGCCTGGTGCCTTTGCCATAGCTGTCATCTGGTGTCCTTCCCATGAGTTCATCCTTTGCAGCTGTCCACAAACTTAGGTGAATTCTGACTTAGGAATTAGAACATTGAGCAGTACAGAAAGAATGGAATCATGTTCAAAAAGACATTGTTAATTATGTTTCTCCTTTTGCACCATTCTACCCTATTAATATTAGGACTTTTTTTTTTTTTTTGCTTAAATTCTTTCATTGGTACATTTTAGGTATACAGTATGTTTACATTTATCATTGGGTGCTTGTACCTGTACATGATGTATCTTGGTTCTTATTTTTTCCCCATTACCTGTGCGCCCTTCACCCCTCAAGACTTTTTTTTAACTTGACACCTGACTGTTCTTTCTTTTTTTTTTTTGGTTGGTGTTTTTTTTTTTTTTTTTTGGAGTCAGGATCTTGCTATGTAGTTCAGGCTGGCCTTGAATTCACTGTGTAGGACAGTGACCTTGAACTCATGGTGATCCTCCTGTCTCAGCCTCCTGAGTGCTGGGATTACAGATGTGTGCCATCACACCTTGCTAGTTTGAATTCTGAAAAGTTGCTAGGCATGGTGCCTCATGCCTCTAATCCTAGCCTCTGGGAGGCTGAGGCAGGAGGACCATAAATTCAAGCCCAGCTTGAGCAACTTAGTGATTAGTAAGTTAAGACCCTGTCTCAAAATTAAAAAAAAAGAAAATTGCAGTATTGACAGATCTGACAATTTTCTATTTTAGTTGATGGGTGTAGTATTTGCTGCAAGCCAGAAGCAAGACTGTCTCTAGTTTGGTCTTTAATGAGGACATTCAAAACATAGCATGTACTTTTTCACAATATATAGAGTATAGAGTGTTAAAATATTTCATACTCTGCTTTATGTCACGTAGATATATTTGTTGAAGATTTATAAAACTTAAATCTGAATGAATAGGAATGTTGTCTTTCTGGGAATATCCCTTTATAGTTTGAGAGCAAAAACAGTCAATTAAATACTGCTTTGTATAAGGAAATAAGAAACATTGGCAGTTTTATTAAATGTATAACATTGAGGAGGGCCGGGGATTTAGCTCAGTGGTACTGCTGCCTGCCTTGCAAACAGAAGGTCCCGAGTTCAATCGCAGTATCAAGAAAAAAAAGGTATATCATTGAACACCCCATGGTGTTATATAGGTTTAGTCTTATTTTGATGCCAAATTTTGGGCTGTTCTGGATAGTTCTTTATGATTTAGATCTATGTTTAAAACACATTATATTTTTATAGACTTCTTGAATCTTTTGGATAACTTGTAAGGGTGAAATTGTTTTTAGGTCTAAGATAGGAGATAAAATTTTGATATTTTGAATACCAAATAGAGAGAACGAGTGAGAATTTATTTTTGCTGGTGCTGGGGCTTGAACCCAGGCGAGCTCTACTGTTGAGCTCCTGCCCCAGCCCCCGCCCCTCAGTCCCCTTTGGGACTGGATCTCACTAAGTTGCCCAAGCTGGACTTGAACCACAATCCTCCTGTCTCAGCTTCCTGAGTAGCTGGGATAATATTTGGGCGTTGATGATAGTCATCTTTGGACAAACTTCAGGAGACCCTTATGAGAACAAGAAACAGTCTTAATAGAGAATTATTTCAGGAAAAAGAGAAAAATGTACAAATTCAAAAGATAACCAAGAATACGGTTGAAACATTTGGTCTGAAATTTTCTTTGGTTTTCTAATGAGTTAGAGTGGAAGGGGAACTAGATGGGTTCTTAGGTTTCTGACCCTCACGCTTTTTTGACTGTCAAGATTCTTTGATTCAGAATAAAGGAATCTATAAAGCATATGTGTGTGTGAAAATTACAGAATAAAGTCATTGTCTCTGTTGTTTAGGAATTCGCCATCTATTATGAAGGCTAAGAAACAAAATTTTGGTAGAAAAATTAATAACAGGATATTTAGCAGTAAATTTCAGTGCAAAAGACTGAGGCCTCCACAGCTGAGGACTGGCCCAGAAGTGCTTTTCTTCCATGCAGGGGTAGGAGAGATGCCCAATCTGAACAGTGTCCTGTTGTCTGTCATTATGTAATTACGTGTCTGTACTTACTTAGGGCTTCCATTTTCATTATCTCCCCTCATGTGAAAAGAACATTTAACTTCTCATTTAGAGGGTAATTCACTGAACCAGTTATGGTACCTGTTTAGAAGTGTTAATGGAAATGTATTTATAATGCCATTTATCATGTCTATAGTTGGAAATTATTTTAAGTGGTATAGTTTTTAAGTCTTTGAATATTTAGCTGCATTACATTAAAATTTTCTGGGCTTTAAAATTACACTTTTTGATTAAACCATAGATGTTCTAATATACATTATTAGTAAAAGCTATTTGTGTGTTGTCTACTAGACAAAAAATTAATTTTGTTAATGTTTTGGTGCTGTAGAATAATCAGTGCTAAACTGTTGGTTAGAGACCACTTAGAATCATTTTACTTTAAATTAATTCAAGTCCAAGATTACACAGATTATCTGCTGCCCAGCGGTTACCTGGAGAATGGTGGTTGGCCCAGAACACCGTCGAGGAGAAAGCCGGTGGAACTTGAGTCTGTGTTCAGTTTCTGTCTCTCCGTGGTCCCCAGCTTTCCTGGGGCGGAGACAGCTGTGGTTTCTTACCCACACTGGGGCCTGCTTGCCTTGTGTCTGTCTCGGAGTTAGCAGCTTGTGTAGTTTATGACATGGTGCACTCACGGTGGCTTTGGGAATTTTGTCAGCCTGTGGTGTACAGGCTCATAGTGAACGGGCAGACTTCACTTGGGCTTTACATGTATTTCTGCGAGAAGCCTCTCCTCGGCTCCTGGAGTCCACATTACTTTCTCCTTGTCACAGATCTTCAGTGATCCAGTCTTTTGCAGCCTTCGCACGCACACATACTTAAGTGTGCAGTGTTTGTTCCTTCTCCTGTATCTTGAAGATGCAAGCTTTGTGAGAGCTCAAGCATGAATATGTTGTCTTCTTCACTTTTTCCAGCCATTGGCACAGTGTTTGTTCAGTGAACGGTAAATAGATGAGTAAAAACTGAAGCCAGAGGTGGCGGTGCACACCCATAATCCCAGTTCCTCAGAAGACGAAGGCAGGAGAGGCACAATCTTAGAGGCAGCCCGGGCACCCTAAGGAGCCCCTGTCTCAAAATGAAGAGCAAAAGGGCTCGGACGTAGCCTAGTGGTAAAATGTTCCACGGTGCGATCCCCAGTACTGGAAAACAAATTGCCAAGAAAACTTGAGACTGTTTACTGTCAGATTTTTTCTGAAAAGTTTTTTTAAAAAATTTGTTTTTGTTTTTAAAGACAGGGTCGCACTGTGTATTCCAGTGGACCTTGAACTCGCTGTGTAGCCCAGGCTGGCCTTAGTTTTTGTTGTTTTTTTTTGCGGTCCCGGGGATCGAACTCAGGACCTTACACTTTCGAGGTAGGCATGGTGCTGCTGAGCTAAATCCCTGGGCCTGGCCTCAAATTTGTGACAGTCCTCTTGCCTCAGCCTCCTGGGTACTGAAAAGTTTTATATTAGGACTTTATAACAGCTTTTCTGTGTTTTTAAAACTTTATAATATTTTTCTTATAAGCAGTGACATTCATTGTAGGAAATTAGGAAAAACTAAAAAGGAAAAATCTCACCCAAAGATAGCCAGTGTTAACATTTTAATTTCTTATTCTGATCACGTTACTTCCCTATTTAAACTCCTAAAACTTCCTGTTCCAGGATGAAGACCGGCATCTCCAGCTTGGCCTATGGGGAGGGTCCAGTAGGACGGGTATTGCCTGCTGACTCCATCCTCTTGTTCTGTCCACCTGGCTTCCTGTATGGCAGCTCTGCTGGCCGTTCAGTCCCCCTACTCCTGGTACTTCTCTCCTCCTCCTGCCCCGCCCTCCCGCCCTTGGGATCTCTGCCTGTGAGTTAGGACAGCTCTGCCGCCTGGCCACTGCGCGAGTCAGAACGCGTCCTGGGCAGGGACCTGCACTGAGTTCTAAGTGCAGTACTTAGGGCCCTCCGAGGCCCAGGAGGATGTGTCCTTAGCTTCGACAGACACTGAGGACCCCTTCCCGCTTGGTGGAGAGACTAGTGAATCTTATGCAGTGTTCCGAAGTGGGAAGAGTACAAGGAGTTTGGTTATCGGAGGGAGTACTGAGGGATTTTAGGAGTTAAGCAGGTGAGTGAGGACATTGCAGTGGAGCAGAGCAGGATGTGTGTAGAGGTGGAAGTGAGTGGGAAGCAGGCGTGTTTCAGGGAGCAGTGCGTGTCCCGGCCCCTGGCGGTCGGGAGAGAGGCGGGACGAGTGCTGAGAGCGGGCCTCTACCGGTGAGGTCACCGCCCTGAGCCCAGCGTCCTGTGCTTTCCAGCGTCCTCGCCTCCCGCTCGGTCCCCGCAGTGCCCTGGAGGACGCGAGAGCAGGGAGCGGCGTTATTAGCTCAGTAAGAAGACTTTTAATTAATAGTCAAAGATACAAAAGATTTTTCAGAAGAGAACATTTTTTTAACAAGTTAGGTGAGTTTGTGTTAAGGAAGGATAGATGAGAAAGATAAGTGAGAGAACGGACAGAGACGGTTGTCTTCTGGGTAGGAGTCAGGACGGGACTCAGGAAAGCCACTGCCTCTGTTGGGGCCGATGGCGATCTCATGAATAAAGCACAGGGTGCAGGAGGAAGAGCATGGGGGCTGGGGAGCCCTGTCCAGGGGGCTTTGTCTCTGTCGCCATCCAGGGAGGACCTGGGAAGCACACCGGGGCCTAGGAGGAAGATGCAGATTTAAGGACTACTTGGAGCAGGGAAGCATAGTTCCAAAGCTTTACCCCAGATAGACTGGAAACTTAAGTGGGAGAGGGAGGAAAGAGAAAGATGAATTGTATTGTGTTTGTGTTTTTAAAAAATTTTGCATTTGAGTTTTGTATGAATTCTAATATCTAAGCCCTGAAAGTAATTTTATAGTCATTATCAATCTGTAAGAGTCCTACAATATAGGACTGGAAGTACTGGTAATTTTGTGTCGTTGCTTTCTGAATGCTTGTGCTTCCCTAAGCGAGTTTGTATTGATGTTGCTTTTTTTTTTAAGTGAAATCCTAGGGACTGCATCTTTGTATCTTAATGGGCAAATACTGCGTAGTAGTTGCTGCTATCAAATCATGTTTGCACATGAGTATATAATTTTCTATTACTGAATACTTTGTCAGATATAATTGCGGTACGTTGTTGTTGTTGTTTTTGGTACCGGGGATCAAACTTGGGAACTTGCACTTGCGCAGCAGGCGGCAAAACCGCTGAGCTAAATCCCCGGCCCTGAAGAGACCTTTTCTATTGAGGAATTCTTTCCATTCGTTATATTTAGCAGAAGCCCATTTCACCTCAAAGGCAAAGTAGATTGAATAAATATTTCTTAAGATATTTGAGCTTTTAATGGAAAAGAACCGGAAAAAGAATCTTACATTACATTTGAGTAATACAGTTTTGATGTTAAAGTTAAATTATAGCAGACAGGAAGGTTAGTCAGATGCGAACAATTTGGAGTCTCTGAAGGATTATCTAGATCACTGGTTCTTGGAATTCATACATTTTACAGCTTAGAAAAAATTTTATTTGGGGACTACTGTATGGAAGCTAGCTTTTTAGTTTATAACAATTTGATATTTCATTTTAATAAAGATTTTAAACCAAAGCAGTAGGAAGATGAGGCTTTAAATTGGACAAAAATGTGTAATTTATTAAGAACTTACTCTAGTTACCAGGTTTTCTAAATTATTTTGCAGGTTGGGAGAAGCTTTAACAATTTGGCACTGAAATGTAGATTAGTACTCACAAACTGCTGATCTCGCTCACAGAGCATGTTCATGGCGCAGCGGAAACTGTGTCCCATGTCCCTGGCTTTTGTGTCTCAGCTTCTGTTTGAAGAGATTGTCAGTGAACATTGTTCTTTGACTTTTGGCTTTTTAAAATATATTGGAGTTATAGTTAGACTTGTGGCTACGAAAGAAAAGTAGATCCTATTTTTCATGTTCTTTTCCGGGCTTTTCCTGATTTGGCCTAAGTGGACACAGTAAATCTTGTCCATGCCTTCACCTTCTCTCCTGTTCCTCTCTCCCTCCCACCTTGTCTTTGTTCTCCTCTTCCTTTTCCCTTGTCTTCCTCTTTTTATTCTTCTGCTACTTCTGTATTCCACATGCAGCTTGAATTGGTTTATCAAAGTGCATACTATACAATAGTAAAAAACCCCCAAACTCTGAAGATACATGTATATGAAGAATATGCCAGGACTAGGAGGAAATCAGCACGTGTTAATGTATACATCTCCCCAGTGTAAATTTTTCATATTTTGCTAGGCTTATTTTTTATTTTATTTTGTTTTTTATTTTTGTTGAGGCAGGGTCTCACTATGTAGTTCAGGCTGGTCTTATATTCACTATGTAACCCAGGCTGACCTTGAACTCACAGCGATCCTCCTGCCTCAGCCTCCTGAGTGCTGGGATTACAGGTATGCGCCACCACTCCTGGCTTGCTAGGCTTATTTTAAAGTCTAATATTCTTCCTAACTTTGATGTATGGTAGGGATTAATCTGCTGATTTTTGCCAAATGTAGACTTTCATTCTAGTAGATAAAATTTTCATTAACTTAATTATAGGCACAGTAGTAAGGGATTTATATTGATTGTCATAACCCTCTCTAATAGATTTTACTTTTACTTAAAAAGTGGAAAAACAAACCAAAGTTTAGGGAAATTAACTGACTTGACAAATTTACATTAACTACTAAGTAGAAAAGCTGGGTATTAAACTTTGGCAAGTATCTAAATCTTAATTTTATAACAGTTAAGAAATTACTGTGGTGGGTTTCAGGTTTTCTTAAGTTCTTTTCTTAGATACAGCAGGGCTCATTTTTCTATTTTTCCGTACTATGTTAATGGTGTGTGAGAGTACAAACTCCAGTGGGGAAAAAACCCAGATGCACCTAAGAGCAGTCGCATGTGATGCCATGCTTTTAGGAAAGTAGTGTCCAAAAAGATTTCTGGGATGTACTGTGCTTGAGACTGTCCTGGAGATCAGTGTGACAGGACACTGCACCACTGAGAAATCTTAAAAAAGCAGGTAGATCCTTAATCATAAAACTAGGAAAAATCAGTGTGAATACAAGCCGATGTTGGGAAAGCTCTTCTCATTCTTGAGGGTTCATGCCACTTTTTACCAGTTATTCTTTCTTACACACGTGTCTGTCTATGTGTATGTATGTATATCATATATATTTAAAATATACATATACAGTATATTCCATGCACCCAGAGTTCTGTGTCTCAACTTATTTTACTGCAAGAGACCTTCAGTAGTTTAAACATTGCTCTTTGATGTCTGACTCTTTAAAATATATTGGAATTATAGCTACCCGTCCAAATATATGTGAACATGTATATATACAAACATATGAAACATGTATTGTCTGACTACATGCACAGTAAGCCAGTGTTTTCTAGCATGGTTAAAATAACTGTCAACTAACTGTTTTTTAATTTAAATTTTAGTTACGGCTCTTTTAAGGAAGCTTAAGCAGCAATCCAGGGAAAGTGTTGAAGAAAAACGACCTCGATTATTAAAAGCCCTCAAAGAGGTAGGCTGATTTTTTGGCTTATTTTGGAGCTAAAGAACGTTATCCATTAAGAATATTTTAAGTATAGTTTCAAGCATTATTAACTAATTGAAATAACAAAATACAGTGGTTATAATGTACAAATGTAATCTTCGTCGAAGCACCCATTTTATTTGAAAAGGCAGATAAAGGTTTATTACTTTTAATAAATTAGATAAGTGCTCAATGATGAGTCATAATGAATGGAGTAATGCTCCTTTGGAGTGGAGGATTCTCTGATGGTTGAGGCTGCTCTGCATGAAGCAGCAGTTAGCCTTTTCTTTCCATGAAAAGCGTTCTTTTGCCCAGCCCTGGGAGTGCGAACTGCGTGTGCTGTGCTGAAGAGAAATGCTTGTTTCCTATTCTCCTTAGAACTGTGCTTACAGGTGCCAGAGCCTGGCTTCTCTTCGGGTGCTTACTCCTTTACTTTTTTTTTTCCCCCAGTACCGGGAGTAGAACTCAGGATTGCCAGGCAGGTGCAGCGCCACTGAGATTTCTTTACTTTTATTCCAGATCTGGAGACACATAGAAGGGCCCCCACTTTACTTAGGGTGCCATAGTATCTACTATCTGCATTTACTTTCTTCAGTATTTGAAATAGGAAAGACTAATTTGCTATCTTTTTGAGAAATGAAATTTTTAATACAAATTTAAATGTCTGTCGGTTTCAAATATATTCTTACATGTTTAATAGGTTCTTTTAAAACCTACCGGATGCATATTTTTCTTTGTAATTAATTATACTAGCATGTACTGTTGCAGTGCTTTAAGTGGAATCATTTTGATATTTTGTTCTTTCTCAGACTCTGAACATTAAAATCAGTATTATTTTCTATTCTTGTCTATGCACCAGTAATGATAATATTTTTAAGAAAAGCAAAATATTAAGCAGGTCTATGAGCTGTTAACAATGGTGCTTGTAGTAATTACTCATATTCCATTTTCCAGCTAGGTGATTTTTATCTGGAACTTCACTGGGATTTTCAAAGCTGGGGTGAGTGTGAGCTTTTTTACTCTGAAATATGTATTTATGCAGAGATAATCCATGCCAAAAGCTTATTTACATGCCTTTCTTAGCATAGCAAATTTGATGCGTACTAAGGAAAGTTATTTTTCATAACATTGAGTTTTATGAATATAAAGCCCTGTAGTAATACGTAATTATCCCAACTTAATCAGCATCTTTTATACTTCTTAAGTTTGAGAACTGTATTACAATTTTTAAAAACATTAAAATATGCTTAAAATTATAATTTAATGTATAGAATTTTCAGAGAAGAAGATATTTTTGGGATTAGTGGACTGTTTAAGAAAGTTGGAAATGTAGTACTTAGATCTCCAAATGTGAAGAATTTGGTTAATGTTACTTGATTATATTTTGTCATCTTTCAGTCATTTTGCTACTTACATAATTTATACAGCTACTGTCTTTACATACTATTTGGTTGTACACTGGTCCAATTATTTATGAAAGATGTTAATTTTGACCTAGATACTTTAGTCATTTAGTGATTTGCTGTAGCAAGGTGAGTCTACCCTCTAGTTTTAAAAAATGGTATGGAAGATCAAATTCAGGGGGTGCTACATCCCCAGCTCCCCCCACTGGCACCTGTTTTTTGTTTTTTTGGTACCGGGGATCGAACTGGGGACCTTGCGCTTGCGAGGCAGGCAGCGGAACCACTGAGCTAAATCCCCAGCCCTGGCACCTGTTTTTTGAAGATAGGTCTCTCTAGGTTGCCCAGGCTGACCTCATACTTGCTGTCCTGTCTCAGCCTCCCAAGTAGTTGGGATTACAGGCCTGTCCACAATAGCTTGCTTCTTGGCTTTTTAAAACATGAATCAGCTAGGGGGAAAACCTGCGTGTCTGAACAGGAAGTTTAGTATTAGTGACCTTATTTTAGTAACTAAACCATGAAATTTTGTTTTCATTAAAGATTTTAAAAAACGTTATCCATAAAGATTTGCGTATAATAAACTTTGGTATGGTTTGCAAAGCATCTGAATTATAATGTTTGTAACATAGTTATTTGACTGTTCAATAATATCCTCCCAAGTAATGATAGTAATTACAAATTGAGAAATATTTGAACTATATTACATTTTATATAACTTTGGGGAACTACGATGTGTGTGTCTTATATATGTTGTGATTATGTGTGTTATGTTTATAAATTATTACATTAATTTACTATATAATGCAGTATATTGTATTATATCTATTTACCTATTATTATAAGTGAGTGTTTCTTGTTCCTATCAAATAAGAAAAATAATGGACATTTCAGTTTTATGCCTGTGGGAGATCAATAAATACAACTATTTGAAACAGGTTATATTGTGATATTTATTAATCTTTAATGAAATTATGATATTCTCAAAATGCACTTGGGTTTGAAAATTGAGCTTCATTTTTTCACTTAGAAAATAGAAATCAGACAGTATACCTATAGTAGTAAAATTCCTGGCAAGTTTCCTGACTTAAACTTTAATTAGCACTACTTGTCATTTCTTCTTTTTTTTTTTTTTTTTTTCGGTACCGGGGATCGAACTTGGGTCCTTGCGCTTGCGAGGCAGGTGATGGAACCACTGGGCTAAATCCCCAGCCCTGTCATTTCTTCTAATTCTTCTACATCTTCTGAAAAAGCAAATACAGCGATAAATCTGAAACCCATTAATACTTCTCTTTATTATATTAAAAGTTAGTAATTTTCTACCATCTTGAGAAGAAAGTTTTTGTTTCTTCTTAACTAGTAATACCTAAGTTTTCTACTAGCTGTATTTTCAACAGTCGTCCTCTCCCCCCACCCCCTAGCTTTTTAAGTACAAGTCAGACTTCTCCCAAGTAACAAAGTTACCAGCATTTAAAAAATCAGTCTTATGATGTGCACGTACTGTACAGTTCATAGGCTAACACCCATGTTATAGTCAGGCTATGTAGATTTTTTAATACAAAACTCACTGTAACCAGGGATGCAGCTCAGTGGCACCGTGCCTGCCTGGCAAGGGTGAGGTCCTGAGTTCGATCCCCAGTACCAAAAAAAAAAAGAAAATTCACGGAAAAAGTTTTGAACATTACAGAAGATGATCAGGTATTTTTAATTTTCCCAGTACTGCTTTCCAGTGGCTCCGCTCAGGTCTTCTGTGAATACCTTCAGATCCTTTTCAGTGTTTGAAAGTGTGTGTATACACACATGCAAATAAATGTCTCCTTAGTTTCTGTCCCTCATGGGATTATCATACTGTACGTCCCACAAGTTGCTGTTTTTACTCCCTGTATTGCAGACATCTTACCACGTTTGCATACCTGTAGTGCTTTACTCATTGGAACATTGTGTCACACTTTATGGCGTGGAAGAGTAAGGTTTTCCTCGTGTGTTTCTTCCTTAAACTTAGGATTTTAAATTCTAAATGTAAGCACTTCTTTCCTACATTGTTAAAACTCTAGCTCATTGAGCTAGTTTCTGCTTCAACAAAATTATTCATGGTCTAGTTATTCTGATAGTCTTATTTTGCCTTCATACCTTGTATATTATTCAGAGGTCCTGGTGTCCTGGAATGCACAGAAAAAGACATTTGTAGTAGCTCCATGTAATAGTAGAGCTCCAAGTCAGATTGATCTAAAGCCTAAGTATGTTTTTTCTCCTCTTCTAGATCCGAGTCCAGAGTTGGGGATGTATCTGAGTATGAGTGGTGGTTTAGCATGTGTAGGGCCCTGGGTTCAGGATCTTCCCTGCAGGAAGAAAGGAAAAGACCCCAGTACTGTTTGGTTGCCCTAAAGTGCATTATCCACTAGACAGTGTTGGCTCTTTAACTGATTTTCTTCATAAACATTAGTGGATTAAATTCTAACATAGTCAGTTTATCTTCCTGAATAAAATGTTATAAAATTTTTTAAATGGCATTTCAGTTATATGAAGAGATATAAATGTATATAATCACGTCTGAATTGTATTTGCATCTCCAGTTGTTAAAACTATATTATAAGCATTGTTTAATCGAATTCATGACACAACCCCTGAGGTACTTGTCAAAAAGTATCTCTTCCTTGAGAATTTAATTTTGACATAAAAACGTCAGCACTTCTGTTTCATAGTTAAAGTGATTTTAGTGATTTAACGTCAAAGCTATGATAAATGCCATGTCACCACTGAGAACTAAACCCTTTGGCTTCTATTTAGCCCAGATACTTCTGACTTAAAAAAACTCTATTATTAGATTTGTTGATAAACCTTTTTACTGAACTTCTGGAGTTTTCCCCCTTGTCAAGACCCATTGTTAGAGGGGCGAAGTCAGTGCGGCTTTGCAAGCCTGTAATGCCAGCACTCTGGGCAGCTGAGAGAGGAGGACTGCCAGTTTGAGCCCTTCCTGGCCAATTTAGCAAGAGCTGGCCTCCAGAGGGGAGGGCGCTGGGATGAGCAGATGCGCTCACTGCAGAGGTGCAGGGTTCAGACTGCAGTACTGAAAGACAGGCAAGCCGGAAGTAAAGGGAAACAGGGAATACTGAGATCAGAGCAGCTTACTCTTTCTCATGCTGGTTTTTATGTTCCCTCATTGGAGAAAGTAGGCTCAAAGTTAATAGCAAGTCTGAAGGCGCTTGAATTATTTGAGCCCGGGTTGTCAGACATAGAAAACCTGTGAATTGGAATCAGAAGTACTGGCTCATGAAGTCATTGCAGAATTGGGACAGTGTATATTATGTATCTTTTAAATGCATTAAGAGCTAGCAGATTTTTAAAAAAATTTTTTGCTTGATGATTTTCCTTCATTTTTTCCCTTGACTTTTGCTCCTCAATCCCAGCTTGTTTTCTGTCTGCTTTTCCATCTTCCTGTTCTGATTTTTGCTAAGTGGGTAATGGTATATGATAGTAAATTTTGTTTTTATAGATAATCATAACTACTGCAGAACATGTAATAAGTTCAATGAACTTATAGTGTTTGTGTCTACTTCTAATCATCTTTGGTTTGTTTTACAACAAATATGTAGGACAGACCTAATTAATAAACATGAAGGAAGAGCTTTGATCTTTTACAGATTTGCACTATTACTGCTTTTCCTAGCTTTTGTTCAAAAAAGGAAAAGTTTTATCAGAAAATGATTTCTTATATCTTTTGACTTAGGGTACTTATGTTTCCTCTGGATAATAAACTTTTTATTTTTATACTAACAATGTCAAGGAAGCTGTCTTTGATGTTGGAAATCATTTTGGATTAAATGCCCTCTAAGGATATAAAAGAGCCATTGATGCATTCAGTATGCCGTTAGTGTTATACTAGAAAATATACTTTTGAAAACATTAACTAAAGAGTACTTAATTTTCTTTTAGTGTCTCTTTTAAAAATAGCTTTTAGTTTTCTGTGAAACTTTTTTTCTACCTCATTAATTTATCACCCATTTAACACCCACTGAATTTTATAAGAGCTACATGTAATAGTTCTCACACATACATATAAAGCCTTACTTATCTATGTGATATATGACATGGCCTTCATTTCAAGAATTTTGAGCTTCACTTTTTTGTGTGTGTGCATGGTAGTTTACTACAGCCTGTGATGCAGATTTATTCATCTGTAGAATAACTTCTGTTTGGCAAAACATAATAGTAAATAATTTAAACTACCGGAGTATAACTTGTGATATGGATATGAGTTAGAGAATAGGATATGAGTAATAGGTAAATAGTATGTTTCCATTTTATACATTTTGAAACTGAGGGACAGCAAACAGCCCAGGCGTATCTTTGGGTTCAAACTTAAACTCAGCTCTTGGTTCAAAGATGTCTCTGTTACCCACATTGCTTTCCCGATGTTTTTCCAGATTATACTGAACGGGCCTAAGTCCTCTGTTTCCCGGTCGAGGAGGATTTAGTAGTTGACACTTCAGGTTGCTCAGAATTGCTTTATGTTATGTTTAAGTGGGAAAATACTGTTTTAAAGGAAATTATTTTAATTTGGTGAATTAGTAAAATATTTTTTATTACTCTTTTAAAAGCTTATAAATGTCTCAGAATTTAGGTAGTTATTTTTTGCCTTTTGTTTTTTAAAATACAGTGCCTTTACTTTCCCGAATTCTGCCTTCTGATGCATGTAAAATATACAAACAAGGTATCAATATCAGGTAAGGCGATTTCATTCTTTTTTTCTTCTGAGTAAAGGAAAATTGAGATTTAGAGGAAATTTTCTTCCTGAATCCACAGTTTTATATGTTTATAATAACTTTAAAATGCTGTAATGTATTCAAATACTTCACTCATTTGAGACATAGTATAGATAAGGAATCAAAGGCCTAAAATCTTGACTGAAGGGAGGATACAGTTTTTACTCTGCTATAGGCCATACAGTAGGCAGGGAGGAAAGTGAGTGGAACGGAAGATTTGAGATGGTCACTTTCCTGACGTCGGACTTCTTAAAGGCAGAAGGACATCCTAGGAAGACCAGTTCTTGCCTTTTTCTCCATCGCTTCCATAATCCTCCCTTCCCTGCTTACGTGTCCATGTGTCCATCTAGTCATCTATTCAGCCATCTGTCCAGGAGTGAGGACTGAAAGGCTCATTTCATTGTCTCCAGTTCTCTTCCTTTTATAACTAACATTGATTTTTGGATCTGACTTTACTCATTTCATAATTTTATTTTTGTCTTTACCTTTAGTCTGATAACATAGGCATATTTACACATGGCATGTAGGTAAATTATGTAATCCTAATTAGTTCAATAGGCCTCTGTATCTTGATAAATATGTATTTATGGTACGTGCATACATGTGCATGTTATAAAATTTGTAAAATTTGGCGTATTTGTGTTTCTACATTTCCAGATGAATTTGAGTGTGTAGGGGTCTAGAAGTAGAAAAGGCTGGAGGGGATTGATTCATGTAAAATTCATTTATAGGTGCAAAAAGTGCAAGAGAATTTATAAGAACATTTTACAAAAAAAGATCTGTTCATCCTTGATGTTATCAGCAACCCATGTTTTATAGAGAAAGGAAATAAATGAGCCTCCTCCTCCTTGGGCCCATGCACAGTGATGATGAGCCATACTCAGTAGCACAGGGAGCAGGCCGCTAGGAGTGGGCCAGGAGCTAGCATTCAGCTCTGAAGCGGTAGGGAGGCCTCGCCCCATAGAGATTGCTGAGCTGTGCTCCTAGGGCTTCTTGATTGCACTCTGAGGGTTTGACTGTTTCATATGGCACATACAGTATGTGTGCATCTGCATCCGGTAACTGGCTTTTTTGGTCTGGTCACCTCTGTTATCATAGTGTAACTATTAATAATATAATCTCCAAAGTCATTAGTTTTGATGATAAATCATATGTAATCCTAGATGTTCTTTTGTTGCAACATGCAAGCTAGGTTCCATATTTCCGCTTTTCCTGTGTAGGGAAGCAGGAATGCTAACCCACTTTACTTTGTCCGTGACGAGAACTGAGAAACCCAGGAAGTAATGAGTTCTGATAGCTGTGTTAGAAATTCAGCAAGCAGTGTGGCCTCTCCCAGAGACTTAGGGACTTCCTGGGTGTGATCAGCACCTCCTGACAGCTAAGCCACACAGTTTCTTAGATTAAGTGCTGTGTGTTTTGAGCAACATTTCAGCCAGGGTGCATCTGATCTGGTGACCTAGGAAGCCTTGTGTAAGCTGAAGCACTTTTGGGTACTTGTAAACTTTTTATTATAGTATTTTCCTTAATTTCAATAATTAATGACTTGTGAAATTCTGTCCAAGACCAGCCCATGGGTTAGACCCTGCCAGGGCCAGAGTACCGAAGAGCACCACGAATAGGCAACTGTGTGACTAGAAGCGCTTGGCACAGGATGACTCTAGGGCTTAGGGGCTGTGGAACGTTCACTGGGAAAGAGAACACTGGCCCGGACCTGGAAAGTCTAACAGCAAGGCCGGGCTTTTCAGTCGGTTAAGTGATTGCTCAAGTTGAAGGATGAAGTCAGGTTTGCTATCAGAAGATAAGACAGCAAGCCTGGGTGTGCACTGGAAAGCACTCCTTAATCCAAGTTTGCGGCCGCGTATTGCTGCGCTCCCCTGCCATGTACAGCTGGGGACACGGACAGAGCGCCTTTGCTTTGCTGTCCTCCCCGTGGAAGTCACTTTATTGAGTGGCTGCAATAAGGGGAATGGTTGGAAATACAGGTACAGAAAGGGAGATATTTCAACCGTGGGGGAACTTTTTTCTTACTGGGTTAATGAAGTATATGTTTAGTAAAGTGAAACATACATCTTAAAAAATAAGTTTTAAATAAAATATTTTAATTTAGCTTTTATATATAAATTTAAATTTGAAATATGGTATTGGCATCTTAGTGTGTTTTGAAGGCAAAAATTTGTTTACTAATTCATGAAGTTTTCTCAGAACTGTGTCAGTTTCTTACCCATTGATCTCTCACAGGCTCAACACGACTCTCATAGACTTTACTGACATGAAGTGCCAACGAGGGGATTTAAGCTTCATTTTCAATGGGGATGCGGCACCCTCTGAATCTTTTGTAGTATTAGACAATGAACAGAAAGTTTATCAGCGAATACACCATGAGGTGAGCACGCCGTCTTACCAGTCAAAATAAAGTGTGTGTTTAGCCAAGCCTCTGTGTAATCAGTGTTAAAAGCATAAGGTGTAGCTGAGATGGTTTATTTCCAGAGCTTTCCCTTCCTTTACCTCTGGTCTGTAACGTTGCTGACCTCTGCCTCCTTCGTGTGAACACCTTTGGCTATTTCTGTGCTCTGCTCTTCTTAAGTCTTTGGCTCACGTTTCTTCATCTATCCTCTTATGGTTCAGCATCATCTACCTTCTGTCACGATGGCTCTTCCGCTACTGCCATTGAAAATCCATAATATTTATCCTTTGTTTCCTTTCCCTCCTGTAAACCAAAGAAAAATTGGTAGCCCTGCAAGTGATTTTTAAATCAATTTTTTTTGTCACTGGTGTTTTTATTTTGCCTTTGTTTTTATCACTTCCTTTCCCCATGTTATCACGTCCTTCACCACAACCATTTGCTTCTTCCTTGTATCTCCCAGGTGAGCCTTTCATACCGTTGTATCCATGGACAAGACCTCACCCTTGTGTGTGCACTACTGAAATGAGTATTCAGCAATGGAGATTTAGAAAGATGGGACAATAAAGGAAGGATATTTCTTGTAGAGGAAACAGGATGAGTACAGGGAAGTAGAATAAGAATAGTCTGTTTTAGCCGGAGATCTAGCTCAGTGGTTTCGCTGCCTGCTGCGCAAGCGCAAGGACCCAAGTTTGATCCCCAGTACCAAAAAAAAGAATAGTCTGTTTGAGATTCAGAAAGGAGATTTATCTGAGTGCAGTGAAGCTTTCTTTATTGAATGAGAAGGTAGTTTACGAAAGGCCTTAAAACCCAGAAAAGAGGACTTGGGACCTGCTGCAGCTGGCAACAGTGTTACAGACTATTAAAGAAGGCATCGGCTTGATCAAAATTTAGTTGAAATCATTGTATATATTTCTTTCACTTAACTCAGGGATTTATCAAGGATCTAATAAATGCTAGACCCCCTAGATGCCCTGTGTACCAGTATTGTATTAATGTTGAGACAGTTACCACCATGTATTAAGCAGTGATTGCAACATACTGGTATTATAATATAAGTGTTTTACAGATTTCCTCATTAACTCCTTAAAATAACCCATCAAATAAGGCAGTATCTCCTTTTGCAGATAGCCGGTCAGGGCTTGGAGGTGGTAAGGTCAGACGCCAGGGTGCAAGGCGGGAGCTCATGCGGCTACTCACTCCGGAGGTGTAGGAAGTGAGAGACAGCTTTTCAAGAATGGCGTTTCAGGAATTGCTGGTAGTGTGAACGTAGTTGGGAAGAAGGAATGTTCGGGGTTGAGTGTAGTGATGCTGGCCGAACCTGTGGATCAGTGGTATCGCTGACCCCTGGGCCTTCGGTTTGGGTTTAGGGGCTATTCATTGCAAGTCCATTGCCAGAATCCGTGTACTTGCTCTGTCCGGTCTAGTAGACTTTTCTGAAATATTTGCTATTATTTGGTCACTCAGATCTTGAAATTTTCATTTTCTTTGGATTTGACTTTGGTCAGTTGTTGCTTTTACTTCTCTTTATTTCCCTTTTGTTTTTCTCTGCTTACTCTTTAAATAGTGATGTGCCCTTATGTGCAGAGTTTTACAAACTGAGCCCCCGTGGCTTCACTGGCTTCCTTCCCCTCACAACTGGGGACTCACGGACGTCCTGCTGTCCCAGATCCCTGTGCGTGGAGCCCAAGTTGCTGTCCCTGCTGTCCGATTCCTGACGAGAGTTCCGCGGGTCTCCCAAATCCTTTCAGATTCTCCTTACTTGGCAAGAACATCGCTGTTTTCTCCCCAGGGCTGCCCTTCCCTGCCTCCCCTCCTGGGTGAATGCTGGAGTTCTTCTGTTCTGTTCAGTCAGAAGCTGGAGTGACATCTCTCGTAATCCACATTTCCTCATGTGGACACGTCAGGTTACTTCTGTTTCTGTGTCTTATGATTAGTCCTTTTACTTCCCACGATGACCTGATGGACTCAATAGGTCTCAGCGCCTTAGTGGTCTCCTGGCTCCCTTCTGAGGAGTGCTGAACTTGAAGAACAAATTTATGAGGCCCACTTTCCTTAAAGACACTTTAGGGTTCCTCATTACTTAAGAGTGCAATGCAAACTCCTTAGCAAGCCATGTTTCTTTCTGTGCCCTGACTTTTAAACTCACTTTCCTTGCTCTCTTATTTAAATTAAGTTAAAAAAATTCTTTTTCAGTACTGCGAATTGAGCCAAGGGCCTTTGCAGCTCTTTGGTTGTTGTTGTTTTATTTTTTTGAGACCAGATCTTGCTATGTAGTCTAGGCTGGCCTTGAATTCACTGTGTAGCCCACGCTGGCCATGAACTCCAAGCAGTCCTCCTGCCTCAGCCTCCCCAGTGCTGCGATTGTAAGCATACGGCAGCCACAGTGCTTGGCTCCCCAGCTCCTTTTACACGTTTTTAAAGGGTCTAAGTTCCTCAGTGTGGGCTCAACTGGGATCCTTGTGCCTCAGCCTCCCTAGGTGCTGTGCTTAACTCTGCCTGCTTAGCTGTCTTCTTACCTTGGTATTTTAGGCACTGTACTGAGCTTGTCAGCAGGTTTTCAGATGTGCCAGGCTATTTAGGACTTCATATTTTTGTTCACGTTGTTCCTGCTTCTGGACCTAGAATGCCTGTTTTGCATTTTCACACCCAAGGCCACCTTCTTAGTGCCCGTCCTCCCTTGCCACGTGACCATTGTTTTATTTTACGCTTTTACTGAACCTGGAGCTGCAGAGCTTCTAAATATATACTTACTACAGCTTTCTCCGCGTGTGGCTATGCTCCTCAGCGGCCATGGCTTCTGCTTGGTCTCTGGTACCAACCACAGCAGTCAGGCATGGGCCAGGCCCAACGAGGCAGACGTTGGAAATAAGCACTGTAGGCGTGCGGCTGTGACCCTGGGCCTCCGGGGCTGCCTGGCTCCCCTCCTCTGTTACTGGAGCTCACGGCAGGTCCAGTGCGGTTCTGTCTACAGAGGCCGTGCCGGGGGTTGGCCTGCCAGGTGCAGGTCGCCGGCCCCAGTTCTAGACTTTCCGAGGCTTGCTGAGTCCTCTGACTTCTAGAATGTTCAGCGACAGCAGGACGGCCAAGAGCAGCAGCTGAGTTGGAACTTGACAGTGAAAGAAACCGGTAGGGCTGGGCTGAGTGACAGCCTTGATCACCGGAGGGATGGTGCGTGCGTGCGTGTATTGTCCGAGATTCAGGAAAGCTAGTTTTGAGCAGTAATTGTTAGGGCAGAAAATACAGCAGTATCTTCACATTCCCGTGTTCTGCGGCCTCAGAGTCAATCAGCAGTAGATCTAAAGTAGTTTAAAAATCCACCTGTGCCCAAAGGTGCAGACTTTTTTCTTGTCATTGTCCTTTGAACAATGTAACAGCTATCGACACAGCATGGATACTGTATGCAATGTTGCTCGCCATGTGCAGAGGACTCAGAGTGCATGCGAGGGTGTGTGGACTCCGCCCTGCAGACCCGGGAGGACTGCTCTGGTGCCCCAGGCGGCGCCCGCCCCCTGCAGCCCCGAGGTGCGACCCCGTTTCTGGTCCCAGAACTGAGTTCTGAGTGTTTCTCTGAAAAGTGTTTTCAGTACAGACATATTTCTTCCTAGCCAGTGGTGTGTGTGTGCGCACACTCACACACTTTTCTTTCAAGAGGAAGAAAGCTGTAAGGAGGAAGGGGCGCGGCGTGGGAGGTGAGAGGCCGGGGCTTCACACTGGCCCCGGGGAGCTGGCGCAGTGCGCCTTCCTGTTCCACCAAAGTTGTTTGTCTCGTTTTGTTCATAAAAAATTGTGTTCAGAATGGCTGTACGTTACCTAGGGATATGTTCTCACACCTCGCATAAGGTCAGATGTTCTATTGGGTGGAGGAAATGATAAGATCCCAAGCCCTCGCTCTAGTTTTCTGTGGACTCGAGGTAGAAGAAGGGACCGCATCTCAGCGAGGGAGGTGGCGCAGAACAGAAATAAGCCTCGGCCCGGCCACAGCGGAAGAGAGTGGAGAACAGAGCTTCTGGCCGCTGCGCCCAAGTGGCTGCTCACTGCTGGGCAGCCCTCGCGGTGCTGCCTCAGACCAGGCTCTGCCGGCTGTGAAGCAGAACCTCACCCTCCTTGCTCGCTGTTCGGGCCCGGCCCGTATGCAGGCACGAGCTTTCCTTTCTTCCCGCATGAAAAATAATGATCGCACAGTTGTTTTGTACCGGCACTGGGGCCCATGTAGAGGATAAAACCCGGAGCAAGGCTGCTATTAAGTTTAGAAACCCTGGGCTGATATTCATGGATTTCTTTCCTTTCTGTTAGAAATATACAAAAGCCCCATTCCCTCTTCTCCTCCTGCTCCCCTTAGATTTTACTGAAAAGGAAAGACTCAGATGACAGTGATGGGTTTTTGAATTTAAAAATACCTCAAGTCAGATCCTCTGTATTTATAGAAAGCAACAGCTGCTTATGGGCAGTTTGTCTCAGGTCTTCAGCACTCTTATTTTTTTTTGGTACCGGGGATCGAACTCAGGACCTTGCGCTTGTGAGGTAGGCGCAGTGCCACTGAGCTAAATCCCTGGCCCTTCAACGCTCATCTTAATCCCTTAAGGTTGCTCTGCAGACTTCATAGTTTCGTAGGAGGTAAATCTCATGCTATTATATAACTGTAAGAATAGTGTATCGTATGTGTCCAGCTTTTACAGATTGGTAGTCATAATTCTAATTTACTAGAGAAGATACTAGGTTAAATGAAATGTAAACATTTGTGTTTTGAATAAGTAGCACTTCACATTATTAGGAAACGATCCTTTTTGTCTTCTGAAATCTGTAGTATTATAATTGTTACTATTCTCACATGTAGCACATTGTAATAACTTTTGAAGAAAACCTAGATTCTTACATTTAACCTTTCTGCCCACTCTAGGAGTCAGAGATGGAAACAGAAGAAGAGGTTGACATTTTAATGAGCAGCGATATTTACTCTGCAACTTTATCAACCAAATCCATTTCTTTCACGCGTGCCCAAACTGGATGGCTTTTTCGCGAAGATAAAACAGTATGTACAAACCTAGATTTTTAAAGTTTAAAATTGGTATTTAATGTGGCTCAAGTAATGTGATGGCTGTGCAGGAGAAAGTAGATTACTGAATTTTCTTCAGGTAGTTTATTCTCTCTCCCTAGAATCCAGAGAGGTAATTGTAATGTTTTGCAGAGTTGGAAAAGCCAGAAGAGAAAATTTACCTCATTTGGATTGAATGTTAGACGGAATTTTGTTGGCTGCCTTCTTAAAGATTTTTACCTGATTCCACTATATATTCTACTTCATTCCAAAAACAGAGCACAAAGAGGAATACACTTGATTTCTCTAGATTTTTTTTTTCCCCTCCTCACTTTCAGACTTCTAAATCCATTTACTTATTTAGTATCTGTTTCTCATGTTCTTTATAAACTCAGATTAAATAAGCTCATATTTCTACAACACTGTCATTAAATTTCAGTTTAAGCTTCTACATTAGTGAGTTGTGAATTCTTTCCCTAATTTCCATTGCATCTGTCGACAAGAGGCTGTGAAAGACTCTTCAAAATATATTCAACTTGTAAATAAGGAGAGAAAGAGGGGTCAAAGGGAGAGGAGGGGAATGGGGAACCCCCCCTCCCCAAAAACCCAAAATGTATTGAAAAATTTTTTAATGAAATGTATAAGAAGTATTTTTATAAATTTTTAAACTTAACTTCAAGAATTGTCAGGTGAGAGCCAAAATTCACTTGTAGCAATTATATTTTCATTGTATGGGAGAAATGAATGTATTTGCAAGGGAAAAGCAACCAACCAAGCTGTATTAGGATTCTCTGAGAAACAAAATGCGTAGTAAGAGAGAGAAAGAAGTGGAGAAGGAGGAGAGGGAGAAGCTGGTCACATGGCTCGTGTGATTGCAGGAGCAGGCAGCCTGAGACCTGTGCAGCAGTCCTGCTGGAAACTCAGAGCAGAGTCCATGTGGTCTTGAGCCAGAAATCTGCAGGCTGGAAACTCGGGCAGGGTTTCTGTGTTGCAGTTTTGGGGCAGAATTGCTTCATCCTCAAACTGTCTCTGCTGTCGATGGGTAGACGAGGCCAGCCTCAGTGTGGGGGTCGGTCTGCTGAAGCAGTGTCAGCCACTGCGGTGAAACCCCTGCACACATCTTTGTGTGTGTGTGTGTGTGTGTTCATTAGTACGTCTCTGCAGCACAGTGATTCCACTCCTGTGGAGAGTTGGTACTTGGACATCACACATCTTAATTCTTTGTCGTCCTCGCTCCCTCCTTTTCTTCCCCCTCCCTGTGTCTCTCAATCCCCTTCCCATTTGATCAAGAGCCACTTCCCTATTTCCTGCGATCTGTCTACTCTTCTACTGTTTAGTTATAGTTTAGGTTTCTCATACGTGATACAACATCCTGACTGGCACCCGGGCACCCGAGCATGGCCAAGTTAATGTACAGTATAATTAACCACCATAAAACTTTACGCGTAGTGCTGAGAATTCTCCCTCATCCATCCCTGCAATCCCAGAACCCTTTGCTCACGGTTATCAGTTTATGTTTGTAGCTTTGTTTGATGCTTAATTTTTCATAAAGTGTCATACCTGTTGCTTTGCAAATAGGTCTTTTTAGCTCCTTACAATATGATAGAAGCCCTTTCTTATTAGTCCATGTAGTGCTTCTTCACTCTGAAAAATACACAGGTGGGTGTGGTGGCACACACCTGTGATCCCAGTAGGCTGAAAGCTGAGGCAGAAGGGTTACTGCGAGTTTCAGGTCAGCCTGGGCTACAAAGCGAGGCCCTGTCTCCAAAATAAAAACATAATATAATATTCCATACTATAAGTGTATTGTAATTTGTTTATCTTATTTTGGAACATTAAGATAAACATTTGTGTTCAGTTTTCTGCCGTATGAATGATGTTGTATTTACTGTCTTTTTTGCATTGTCAATTACAGGTAGCAAGAAATGAATGGCTGGATTATGGGAACTATATATACTTAATACTTTTATATATACTTAATATATATACACTTAATACTTTTTTTTTTTTTTTTTGGTACCGGGTATCAAACTTGGGAACTTGCACTTGTGAGGCAGGCGCCGGAACCACTGAGCTAAATCCCCGGCCCTTATATACTTAATACTTTTATTGATAATTTATATTCAGTAAGTGTTTTTTTCATTACAGTGGACCCTTATGAACTTGATTGGTTCCCCAGGGCTGGTTGTAACTAAGTCAGTACAGCTGAGATCTGGATGTTTACCTGGGTACACGCTGTAGATAACAAGAGGCAGATGAATCTTCATTAACCTAATTAACCCAAGTTGTTCATATGTCAGGCTGGTTGTAACTTGAGGCTCCACTGTGTATAGTTTCAAAAATTGATTATATTATTACTACCTAGCCACAGGTAAATTCTATCTATGAGCTCTAGATTCATCGATTTTCCTCTAAGCCTGTTTGGCAACAAATGGCATCATAGGACTCCAGGTTGTAAGATCCTACATTGCAGTCCATTTGTTAGCCGACTCTTATGTCTGTACTCTGTTCTTCTGGACAGCATTAGATGCATCTTCGAGAGAAGATAAAAATTGAAACTTCTGCTCATCTAGTGCTAAGCAGCTCAGAGCTCTTGAACAGCATCTAGGTGTCTCCCTTAAGTCTCTGGCAGGTAAGGGGGGAGTCAGCCATGCTTCTTGTTCCCAGTTTGTAGGTAGAAACTGGTGCAAACTGCTCTTCTTTCTGGTGACAAATAAGGAGGCCCCAAAGCAGGGTGCACCTGCAAACAAACCCTAAACACACAGTTCTGGGTTGCTGGCACACGGCAGCAAGTTGGAGACTAAGTCATTTGCTTGCAGCAAGAAGTGAGAAGCTTGTTTTCAGTGGGCTACTGATTTCTTTGTGAAGTAAGGTATTTGAAACCCAGAGCACCAGTGGGAATTCTAGAAGTGACAGTCCATGCTGAAGGATCAGGAATACTTCACTGGAGAGGAGTAACCACTCTTCTTGTCTTTTATGACACTCAAGTTTCCCTGTCCTCAACCCATAATTTAAACCACTAATTGTATGAGAGTGAGCAAGCCCACTTTATTTTCTCTTCCTTTTCTGAGAGCAGGAAGCAGCTATAATGTGAGGTTTAGTCCTGGTAGAGAAGAGAGAATTGGAGCAGGTCATCCATGCTAGTTACACTAGAGGTTGCTGTGTGAGTCGGACTGTTTATTTTTGTTCCACTTCTTTTCTGTCTATAAAATGGGAACAGTGTTAGCCCTGACTCCTCCTTTGTAGTCAGGACATTTGACTGTTTTAGTAAAGTTTTCAGATAGCTTTGGGCTACTTGAGAGTAGATTATAAAAGAATACTAAGTTATATTTTTATTTGGACTCAGCTCATTTTCAGATTACTTACTATACATGTTTGTGTGTTTTAAATTTTCCTTTATAAATCGGAAATGTATAATTGTATGCATTTTTAACTTAATAGAATATATAAAATAATTTGGTCATTTTAAGTACTAAAGGAATATTTTCATCTACGTATTACATGTTTATGGAGAATATTATCTCAAGACTTCTAAAAATCTAAGACAAACTTTATTATTTTGGAATATTTGATTTTGTTTTAGGAAAGAGTAGGAAACTTTTTGGCAGACTTTTACCTGGTGAATGGACTTGTTTTAGAGTCCAGGAAAAGAAGAGAACATCTCAGTGAAGAAGACATTCTTCGAAATAAGGCCATGATGGAGAGTTTGAGCAAAGGCGGAAACATAATGGAGCAGAATTTTGAGGTATTGTGTTTACTTCTCCTGATTGATAGTTGTCTAAGGAGCAAGGGGGTAGAGTTCATTCTTGGAATTTGAGAAGTTTACCTAAATACACTCACAAGTTTTTTTGCTATGTAGGTTTTACCTTTTGTTTTTCTGTGCATCTTCATTTTCTTTATGCCATTAGCATGAATAAGAAAAGGAAAAAATGGCTTTTGGCATTTTTTGTGAATCTGTACTTGGTCATCGAGGCTTCATTAATACATAGATTAAGATAATTTTGTAAGCAGGAAACCCAGTGTTATTTTTTACTTCATGTTTGTTGATGGTCTTCTGTTGCATCAGAATCTGCTGCTTTGAAGGTCCAGCAGAGACCTACTTTATGAAGTCATCCCTTGGCCTGTGCAGTTGTGTTCAGGTTTTTTTTGGTACCAGGATCAAATTCAGGTCCTTGTATTTGCTGGGCAGGCGGCGGCGAAACCACTGAGCTAAATCCCCAGCCCTTGTGTTCAGGTTTTGAATTGAGCATGTTTATTGGAAACATGTTATATGCAAAGATTGTGATAGTAAGGACAGGGGAGGGAGAATTAGGAAATAAAGAGGGACATGCACTACGATAACTTCCTGCCTACTTCCTAAGGTGAATTGGATGGATTCTTAAATTTTCTTTGGCAATTTTAGATTTACAAATAAGGTAGAATAGCAAAGAATTCCTCATACCCATCATCAGGATTCCCCACTTGGTAACATTTTACTACATTTGTATCGCACTGCTTTTCAAACTGTAGAATAGGGTCCTCTCAGTAGATTATGAAATTAATGTAATGGGCCATGGTCACCATTTAAAAAAATTTGTGTATAAATAAGTCCTAGAAAAAAGTACAGCACATCTCACATAGTAAGATTCATTGCTACTTCATGAAATGATGGTTTCAAGGTTGTGTAAACATTCATATGTGTGAGTGCTGGATTGATGTGTAATCTGAGTCGCAGTCATAGAAAGATGAAAGGTGACTAACAAAGAGACTTGAATTCCCACAGCTGAGTCTTTCCCTTATGTATTGTTCCAGCTTGTATGTTTCAGAGGTGGAAAAACTTCCCAGGTAGTATGCCAGGTTCCAGTTAATTTGTAGTAACCAATGGTAACATCTTACAAAGCAGTTGAACAAGATTACAACCAGAATACTGGCATTTGTGGTTAGGACATTGAATATTATTTCTGTCAGCACAAGATGCCTCCCTTGTGTTTCTCTTTTATAGGCAAACCTGTTGCCCTGACCCCTCTCTGTTTCTTTAATGTTGTTAATTCCAGGATATTCTATAAATGAAACCATCACTCTATGTAATCTTCTGAACCCCGCCCCCCCCAGCATAATTCCCTGGTCATTCATCCAAGGTGTGTATAGCAATAGAAAGCCTGGTCCTTGTATTGCTGAGTAGTATTCCATAGTATTAATGCACCACATGTTGTCTAACCATCTCCATTGGGGAACATCTGGGCTGTTGCCAGGTTTTGGGCCATTATGAATCAAGCTGCCATAAACACTGACCTATAGGTTTTAGTATGAACATAATTCTTCATTTCCCTGGGATAAATGCCCAAGAGTAAAGTTGCTGTGTCATACTGTAGTTGAGTGTTTTTAGTTTTATAAGAAGATGCCAAAACGTTTTCTACCTTACACTTCCATCGGCAGTTTATGAATGATCTGATAGATGTATGCTGCTCTTCATTTCCTTCTGGACAGAATCTAACTCATAAAAAGCAACATGAAGCTATATATGGAAAATATATATTTGGTTTTTTACCCTCTTTTCCTACCAGTGGGCCTTAAAGGAGAAAAGACAGATTTAGATGCAGTTTTTTGATAATTTTAGAGATATAGTCATTTAAGACTACACAGTAAGCTTTATGGGAAGATCCACGTAAGTGTAACGTGAACAGTGGTGAGCCAGTAGAGTGAAAGGAGGGTCTGTCACATTGCAAAGGCGTTCCTGTTTTAATGATGAGTTTTATTTAAAACCTTTTTTTGTTTTTGGTACGGGGATCGAACTCTGGACCTTGTGCTTTCGAGGTAGGCGGCGGAACCACTGAGCTAAATCCCTGGCCCTATTTAAAATCTTAATAGTTTATGAAGGCATTGCAATCAGTATTGAAATTTAATGACTTATAAGTCACAGCTGGCGGTTTAAAAAAAATCAACCATATGTGCCAGGTGCAGTAGCACAGGTTTGTTATCTCAGGTACTGGGGAGGCTGAGACAGAAGGATCAGTTTCAGGGCAGCCTGGGGAATTCAGTGAGACCATGTGTCACAGTAGAAAAGGAGTGCACCCCTGGGTTCAGCCTCCAGTACCACACTGAGAAAATCAAGTGTGGAAATAGACATGCGCTGTCCTTTCACATCAGGTGAGATGCAGGTTAGTTACTCAGGTGGATAGATGTATGTATTCATTAATGATCATTGTGTGCAAGGCATTGCGTTTTACTGGAGAATAATACGAAATTCTCCAGTGGCTAATCTGAACTGAGTGCCTTAAATTTTGCTTTCCAGAGGTTAAACACTGAGTCCATTATTACTTCATCACATTTTTCTTATTCACATTGGTTTAAAACACTGGCATTGTGTTAAGTAGTTTCCATATGTTATTTAATTATTGTAACAACCTAAAGAGATGAGTGTCATTATCTCAGTTCACAGAAGGGAAATCTGGGGTTTGAAGAAGTTAACTTGTCTAGAATGGGAAAGATGAGTTTTGATTTTAGGATCCTGACCACAAGCCTGCTTCTGTGGTGAGCATTTGGCTTCCAAACCTGTCTGTCCTTTTAGTTTAACACATCTCAACAGTTCTTTAAAAATATTGGGAAGTAGGCCGGGGATTTAGCTCAGTGGTTCCACCGCCTGCCTTGCAAGCGCAAGGACCCGAGTTCCATCCCCAGTAACAAACAAACAAAAAAAGAAATAATACTGGAAAGCTACTGTTGGTAAATATGGGAATAATTAGTAGAACATACAGTAGTAAGAGGTATATTTTTGACATTATTGAGAGTTTCAAGCACTGGAAAATACATACAGAATTCTTTTCAATAGGTGTCAAATTACTACATGTTAAGGCCACATTTTAATAGAATTTAAGTTGTTTCGTTCTGAAAAGTAAATATCCTCCTCAGAATGACTGTTCTCCTTTGTAATTCAATAACTTTTGAGTTTCTTCTGCTCTTCGTTTTTCCAGGCAGATAGTTAATTTCTGAGAGAAATGCTGTGGAGGTAGTATTTAGGAGGAGCTATTTGTCACTTGGCTGTCGTGCCCTCTCCCTCCTTGTCTTTTCCAGATGTGATTCTAATATTTAGTGCTCGAGAAATTCCGCAGTCACGGATGCCTGCTCCTGTACTTCAGTGTGTTTCCCCTCCCCCTCCTGGCCGTGACTATGGGAGGGTGGAACTGCATCCCATTTGTGCTTTTGAGTGTGTCGTCCTGTTTTAAGCCCCTTACCTTTTAACTACTGGTTTTTACCCTCACAGTTGCCCTGTGAGGGTGTGCAGTTAATGTAGCACCCAAAGCCACCTGCTATTGAGTCCATAGCATCGCTTTTCAAACTCATGTTCAGAATATTGAGTCAAGTGCCATGAGTGATTGTGCCTATTTCTTCATTTACATTTCAGATCTAAACAGGAATGCAGCAATATTTCTGCTTTGCTGTGCCTGGGGATTAGTCTCTCTCCGAGGCTGCCTACCAGCCCGGTAGCCAAAGCCCTTTGTCTAACTGTGGTGCCTGCAGAGCCCGTACACACCCTCCTGTGCGCTTTAATCCTCTCCTTCCACGCAAGCACTGTGTGACAGGTGGTCCTGTTGTATTACCTAGGGGATAAGGACAAGAAAGGCCTGCACTTGTTCTGTCTGTGCTGATGCATGTTTCTCTGGCACTGTTTTTGATCTGTGGTTGGTTGAATTCATAGATACAAAGAAGGAACTGTACACGAATATCAAGTCCCAGAAATGTTTGCCATTGAAAGTTATTAGGATATCAAGCTTAAAAATAAAGTATTTCCTATATGCCTCATAGAAAACAGTCATCAGAACTTTTATTTCGTACTGAGGGGAAGGCTTGATGGCATTCAGTTACAAGGTGGCCGGCGTGGTGGGCTGGCCCGAGAGCGCTGTCTGGTGTCCCGTGGCAACCCTGCCGCCATCCTGCTCCCAGTCTTGCACCAGCAGCCGTCAGCCAGAAGTGTCAGTGTGTAATAAAACCGTTGGTTGGAATTAGGTTGAGTGAGAAATCTATCTGCAAGAATAACTCAGGCAGCAGCCTTTATCCTGGGAAGTCATTGTCTAGTCAGGCAATTAGACGGGAAGCTTCTGTACAGAGGATGGGAAGACGGATGCTGGGGACACAACTGGCACCCTCAGCGCCACATCCGTGATTCTAACCTGATGCTTTCACACCACACATGCTGGTTATTCTCACCCAAATTCCCAACTCGCCTCGCGCCTTTTCCTGCTCACCACCTGATGCTGTTTACCTGCTTAGACCTAAGTATCGAAAAGTTAGTATGTTTGATTGTGATCAAACCAGTTCTTTCCTTCTCTTTCCACTTTTCCTGTCTTGAGTAGTGGCACTGTTTAATTGGTATGCAAGCCAATTACTGGAAGTTTGCTCATACATTTCTTAGCTTTCCCCTTTTTAACTCCTGTAGCTCAAAGCCCTAATGGTCTCTCTGATCTCTCGAATCTCCTTCTGTTCCCAGACAGCATGCCCTTAGTTTCTCATTTGGATTCCCTGTGAATACACAGGTGCCGCCGTGCCAGCCCTGACAGATTGCTCACAGAGCGCCTGTGCTGGGTGGCAGAGGTGTGCAGTGGACGTGCAGCGTCCCTGGGACTGCTTTAAGCACTTTACATATAACTGCACATTTTTATTACACAGACAAGAGATGCTACATCCTTAGTTCAAAGTCACCAAGCAGTGAGCAAACCAGGATTTGATCAGTCTTATTCTGAACTTTGTGTTTTATGCTGTATTGCTCAAAACACTTGACTGTAGATTGTTTTCAAATTAAAACACAATCTGCTTAGTACAAAAAGCCCTTTCAAGCTGCTTTTCTCTTCTGTGTGTTTACGTGTCTCTCACTTCGAGGCTTGAGTGTACTCCGGACACTAACAGGACACGGCAGTTTCAGTTTCCCAGAGCACCGGGCTTTCTCTCACGACCCCACTTTCTGGGTTTCCTTCTCTGCGTGTCCCGTTCTTTTCCCCTTAGTCTGCCCCGCTCCGGAGTCCCCAGTCCACATCTTCCTGCTGGCTGTGCCAGCCCCAGTCAGAAGACGCAGTGCGCTTTGATGTTGTCCTTTAGTCTTACATCTGTGCATGGATCACGGAAACCCCCACTGGGGCAGGAGAGGACCTTGCAGGCAGAAGCTTTAGTTGGGAAGGTGAACTACAGACGAGAGACATCGTCCGTCCTTTCGGCAGCCCCCAGAGGAAGAGAAGCTGCTGCCCCACGGACAGTTGGCTCCTTGTAGAGGGCGAACCTGCTGAGGGCGTGGTCTGCCTCTGCCGGTCGAGGAGTGCCATTCACGATTGTGCTTTTTCTAAGCAGCAGGGTGCCTGGACAGGGTGTGTACTGCGCAGGTGTGAGTTTGTACACAGCCCAGAGTGTGCTTGGGGACAGGAGATGGGAGGAAGGCAGCGGGAGCGTCCTCTCCGCGTGTCGGCTGCTAGGAAGCGGAAGTTGTCTCCAGCAAAGGAAACTGTGTGACTTCAGGCAGGAAAGGAGAAGGCCTGAGAGAGCTTTTCCTCTTACGTGCTGCTTCCTAATTGCCTTCTGCTCAAAAATAATTTTTATGCCAGTACAAGACACTATTTTGGGCTAACATGTTCGACTTTCTCTTAGCGCACCTCTGTGCTCACGTTTTCCCTTTTATCTGGCTCTTTTTCTCCCATACTACTCTTGTTTATAGGACCCAGTCCTCTGCTGTCTAATTTTTGGTCGAGTTAGTTTCTTTCTTTCCTTTTTGCTCCCTTACTGCTGTCTGGTGACTTCCTAGTGTTGTTGAACCCGGTATTGCTTCATAGGCACTGAGCTCTTTACATTTTCTTGAATTTGTAGCTGTGAAGTAGATGACCATAGATGTATTTTGTGGGTATTTCAATTAATATAATAGAAGGTGATTTGCCTGAATTCATAGAATTAGCAGGGTTTGGAGCTGAGATTCTAATCAGGTTCTGTACCCTAAAAATCTTTGATTCTAACCCTTCATAGATGGCCTTATTGACACCTTATACGCATTATTCAAGCTCTGCTTCTCCCAGGGTGGCCTTGCCTGATGTTACTCTTTATCTCGTTATTTTCATCACTCTTCTACTTACTGCTTCTGTTCCGCAGATTGTTCTCTGCAATTTTAGTTTCCTCCGCCACTGCCCAGTGTAGTTCCTTGTTGCTCGTTTATCCCATATTGGTCCAAATTCATATTTCACAGAAACAGCCTGGAAGGCATAATATTTGAACATTCTTCCCTGGTTCAGTTAAATCAATGTGTGTGTTCACATACTTCTTGGTTTTAAAATACTTTATATGAGATATATAATTTCTACTTAACTCTTCATGTCTATATATTTTTCTTTCCAAGTAAATTGTAAGTTCCTTGAAGTCAGAGTTCTGATACTTCTCTAGCTCCTGTGTTCAGCACCTACTGCAATGCCATGGACATTTTAGATGATTGCGCCGTTGAGGGCCTGGGTACTTTGAGACAAGTATTCTTACTGGGATTTAGAAGGAAATGATAATATTTCTGTTAGAGTTTAAGTCTGCGGAACTGCCTGGGAAGGAGCATCTCGTTTTACAGCGAAGAGGTTAAGTTGTTGCCAGTTGAAATAGTTCGCTGCATGTTTTCTTTTTCTCGTCTGTCCTTTCTCACCTCTCCCCACCCCGCCCTCACAGGGCCTCTGACGCGTTACCGTGTGCTCTACCTGTGACCCAGTCGGCCCCTTTCAGTGTACTGTGTGTTCCGTGTTTCAACTTTATATTTCAAGTATGTATGACGCTCTCCCCCCGCCCTGCCCTTCCCTCGTTCTTTTGGCAGCCGGTCCGAAGACAGTCTCTTCCTGCCCCGCCGCAAAACACCATCACGTGGGAAGAGTACATATCTGCTGAGAACGGAAAGTAGGTGGCTTCTTTTTCTTTCTTCTTTTAGTTTATATCTTCTTTGATTTTTTAGAAAAGAATATTTCTTAAAACAATACATGAATATTTGGGAATAACAATGTATTTTAGAGATAATGTTGGCATTCTTTTTCCTGAAGCATTTTTCTTTTTAACCTTTGAAAAATAGGAGTTAAGCGTGGTGAGTGAGAAGCGTCCCAGGCTGTGGGATCTTGTGCAGAGGGCGATGGCGCCTTCTTTGTGTGGGACTCTCCACTCCCGAGGAGCCGCAGCCCTTCCTCTAGCTCTGGCTCTGGCTGTGGGAGCGACCCAGGGCCCAGGCGTCCTTGAGAGGCTCAGTTGCATGGTGAACTCAAGGTGTTTGATCGCCCCGTTTCTTGAGCGCGCACTGTTGGTCCCGTGTGCCTCTTTCCCGGCCCGTCGTCCATCACGACGTCTCCTTTCAGCCTAGCCTCGCTCCCCTCACTGCTCTTCAGGAGACCGCGAGTCCTCTCGTGTTACCAGCACAGCTTGTAGCTTGTGTTCAGTACATATTCAGCCAAAAGGACCATGAACGAAGAAAGCAAGGGTTTAGTTTGAATGAATGAGTTAGTGAAAGTGTTTACTTCGGCAAACCCGTGCTTCCTTTTGGTGCAGAAAAAAATATGATCCATGTCTGTGCTTAGGAAAAAGTTGGCACCATTTTGCTTTTTCTTGCCGACGGCGCTCTCCTGGCTTCTCCATGGCAGCTCACGGTCGGCCTCACAGGTGCGTCTGCTGGGGCAGTGGCTCTGAGGGCCTTGTGCGTGGCCCCAGCCCCAGGCCACATTGGAGCGCAGTCTCTGGTGCCTCCCGAACCGCCGGGCTTCGGGCCTCCGGTCCCCGCTGTCAGCGTGATTCGGAAGGGAGAGAGCGTTTAAAGCCCCGGCCTGCTTTCCGTTCTGCTTGTTTTAGCTCCTTGGTGCCTGTAAAGCCAGCCTCCTCTACTGAGCTTAGTGGAGCGCTGTTTTATAGCATGAGGTGTTGTTTTTTCCTAAATGAGAAAACAACAACAAAAATGAGTTAGATCTTTAAATGTGTTACAATTTTGTCTTTTGATAATGCTCAATACAGAATTCTTTATTCTTCATGGTACTTTTTATTGATGAATGCTGAGACTGAGTGATTTTAAAGATGTACAGTGATACTTTTTCTTTTTGGAGAGGGGGTATTGCTAATTCAGGCTGGGCTTGAACTCACTATGTAGCTCATATTGGCCTTGAACTCCCTGAGGTCTTCCTGCCTCAGCCTCCTGGATGCTGGGATTACAGGTGTGTGTCACCACACTTGGCTGAATACTTTTAAAGTCTATTTTTCCTAGTGATTTTTTTGGTTCCTCAAAATAGTAATTAGTAAAATTCAAATGCATTCAATGTGGAATGAGTTGTGTTGTGGTCTGATCTTTTTTTTCTGAACTTTTAGTCTTTTCTTTTCGTTATTCTTTTTTTGTACACATCTTGTTCCCTTTTAGCATAATTAATTGTATTTCTATAGACAGTAAGAAAGATTGAACTATTTATGGATGTCTTATGAAGCACGTTTTCTAACATTTTCTTTCTCCTTTTTTCTGTTTTTGTTTTGTTTTTTCATTCAGAGCTCCTCATCTGGGTCGAGAACTGGTGTGCAAAGAGAGTAAGAAAACCTTCAAAGCCACCATAGCCATGAGCCAGGAGTTCCCCCTGGGGATCGAGTCGTAAGTATGTCACCTGCCGCTCTGCGTGTTTGTGGATGGAGCCGGAGGCCCCGAGGCTGGAAGCGTTGGCATCTGAGTGGCAGCAGAGCCAAGACCTGGCCGCACAGCGGGGCCGTCCTGTGCCCAGTGTCGATAGTGTCCTCTGCACACAGGTTTCTCAAGAGTTGCCAGAAGTTACTAAAATAACCCATGAACATGCGCTTGTAAAAGAGTCTAAAAGCATGGAAGATAGATGCACTTTTATAAGTAAAAGTGATAGTTTTCTTTTACACATTAGCAGTGACTTACCAATGTCTTTGCATTTTTATGAAAATAGGAAATGTTTATTTTCTTTATTATTATAGTATGATTTACTATCATTCATGTTATCATTCCCTTACTGGCAAACATTTTGATAGTTTTAGCTTGTCCCTGTTATAAACAGTATTGCAGGAACATTTGAATAGATCCTTTCAGGCCTGTGTTCTTTTTTTACACAAATCCAGTTTGGAGCAATGGGTGGATTGAGAGGTGGGTGGGAAAAGCTGAGTCTTCTTTCATTTGTTTATTTTTCTGGTACTGGGGATTGAACCCAGAGCCTTGCACTGAGCTACATCCCTGCCTTTTTTATTTTTTAAGACAGTCTCGCTGAGGGACCAGGCTGGCCTCAAGCTTGTGATTCCCCTGCTTCAGCCTCCCAGGTAGCTGGGATGAGAGGCGTGTGTGCCATAGCACCCAGATAGGCCTGACTCCTGATGGAACTGTGGCATCAACCTCCTCCATAAAGGGGCGGCCTGGAGTTGGAGCCCCAGGCTCTTTTTTCTTTCCTCATTCACTCATGACGAATACATTAAAAAACAAGAAACCAGCAAAAAACCTAATACCTCAAACATTTTTTCTCAAGGAAGAAAGTAGGTCCTACATTTTTCAAAAAGTGTGTGAATAGAGCATAGACTTCTTCCTGTTCCCAGGCTTTAGAAAGTAGACGGCGTGTTCTGTTTACCCTTAGAGATGTGGCCAGGGAGGTAAGACCCAGAAAGTGTGACCCGGCCGGAGAGAGCCACACGCACAGACCCCACGTGCTCTTCATGTCCTGGGCCCCAGGCCGCAGTGACTGCACTTCTGTGTTCTGCTTACCACTTAGGAAGAAAGCAAAGCTAATCTTACATCAGTTAAGAGTAATTCCAATTTCAGAGATGTTATGTGAAAAAAGGGAGCGTCTCAGTATTTTTAAGATATTGCAGATGTAACCATTGTTCTTAAAAAACAGTAAAATAAGAAAACTCAGCTAGGAGTGGCGTTAAGTGCATGAACTCCCATCTACTTGGAAGGCCGAGGCAGAAGGATTGCAAGTTCATGCCCAGCCTGGGTCACTTAGTGAGACCCTGCTCAACATGAAAATTTTGAAAGCAGAGTGAAGTTAGGTTGTAGCTCAGTGGTACAGCACCTGTCTAGTGTACACATTGGCCCTAGGTTCAGTCTCCAGTACCGCCAGCCCCCACCCCCAGCAGCAAACACAAAAGCACAAAACACAAATAACTGCTACACGCAGAAGCCAAAGAATTCATTCTAGAGTAAGAGCCAGGTCAATGAACAGAAGAGAGTTTTCTGTAAATGCTATGGAAAAACATAAAGAACATGAAATCAGTAACTAGACCACTCTTAAGGTGAGCTGAAGGTCAGTAGACTAAAATGAGAAGATTGCAGAGCTACATAAATAAACTGAGTACTGGTCAGTACTGCTATAAAACAGACACTAGGAACAACAGCAAGGGAAGTAGGTGTGGCTGAAAATAAAATTCTGACAGCTCATGATGGGTGAGAGGACAGATACAAGGAACTAGAGAACATAACAAAGATCTTGTACCATGAGAATCATCAGTGTCCACTCACATAGAAAGCCCCTCAGATGTAACTGAAATGGCATCAAAACATGAGAGAAGAAAAAATGTCTCTAAGGCTCAATTTAATCTATAGTCTTAACACTGTGTTCTAAAAAAAAGGGTAGAGAATAATCAATAACAAAAATTATCCCGATTTAGCTATTGGGTTTCAGTTGTTAATAAAGAAACAGGCATTTAGGCAGAAAGGGGTAAAGTCAGCCTGACCTTAGATTTTTTAATATTTTTGGCATATGATAAAAGAAAAACAAGGAAAGAATGATCTGTTTACACCTAGGAAAGATGTCTTACATACAAGAGCAGGCTGAAGATAACTCACAAACTAAAGAACTTAACAAATACTGTAGTATATCAAGCATAGACTTTTGTTGAAAGAAAAATAATGCTACTTAAATGAAACCCACCCAACTAGAAGGGGAAGTTGTAGTTATGACTAGTGATGCAGAATACTAAGAGGCAGACATGAAATTGTAGTTCACAGATAATAAATATAACCTGAAATTTATGTGAGGCAGATTTGGCTTTCGGTTTAAAGACAGGGAACACTCACTTAAATGTGCAAGAAACCGGAGAGTATTAAGCACCTAAGCCCCCTTCCCACACATGATCAATTGACCGTGAAATCCAGCCACCCAAGCCTGAAGCTACCTAAGAACTGAGGGGTTTGTAGAGAGCCATAAGGCCACACCTGGAATCTGAACGGGGCTCACGCCCGCTAGCAAGACTGCTATACCTGTAGTCCGGCAACTCAGACCTTGCCCTCCTCAGAAGAGCAGAGCCACTCACTCGGGAGGCAGAAGGAGTGCAGTTTCGCATCCTTCCAGTCTTGGACTCGGTACTGCCAAGTCTGAAGCCTGAAGTGACTTAAAGACCCATGTAAATCAGTTTGAACAATGAAAACATTTCTTCTTCTTTTTCCATTTTTCAGATTGTTGAATGTTTTAGAAGTAATAGCTCCCTTCAAGCACTTTAACAAGCTTAGAGAATTTGTTCAGATGAAGCTTCCTCCAGGCTTTCCTGTAAAACTAGGTAAGAAGAACATTTAGGTGTAATGTTTATGTCTGTTAGAAATATGGAGTTAAATAAGAAATTTGTATTAAAGGAAGATGGATTCCTAGTTGCTTACATTTTTATACTTTCCTTAGGGCCTTGGATACTTAAGCTTTGTCATACATACGTACAGAGTGCCTGATGAGTGTTCTAATTCTCCTTGATTTAGATGAAATGTAAGAGACCTGAAGATGCTTCTTACAGGAAGGGCTGGCTGAGCTCAATGTGGTGCAGTAGTGCTGTTCACGAGAAGTTAGAGGGGACTCTTAGGGGGTCTCCACAGTGGTAATGTCTCCGGACACAGTGCTCGCTAGTAATGGATGGAGTGATGGTCGCGCATTTTATTTTTCAGTCTTAACGTTTACACTTAATTTCATTGATCTTTAGAAACAGTAAACTTGCCTTGTTGACATTCTGTATCTTTCTGACATACCAGAAAACTGGGAACAAGAGGTAAATAAAAGGTATTTTGGGCCTTTAGGCTTAAGTTTAGCATTAATGCGAGTGGCAGGACAGCTGTGATGCCGCCCATCAACCCTACCAGCCCGTCCGTGTGTGATGGGTGCCTGGTACGTGCCAGTCCCCAGTCCAGGGAAGGGGAGCCAGCGTCCTCGTCTGCATCCACCTTCAGTGGGAAATGGGAACGGGGAAAGAGAAACACAACCCGTATGCAATTCTTGGCATGTATTTTATCTTGTTTCATTCCGCATTAAACACACATGTACACGCGTCGCATAAGAGGCACAATGCTGTGCTCCCAAATAATGTTTTCATTAAACCTACCCTCCTCACATTTCTAGAATTGGACATAAACTTTTTTGTGAGTTAAAATCAGTTTTAAAATGACTTTGAAAATGTCACGCTGATTGCCCTTTGCATTGAAAAGCCCTGGGAACACAGTGTCAGTTTGGAGGAACTGATCTTGGATCTTAGGCAGAGACAGCTTGAAAAGCAGCCCAGAGCTGAGTTCGGGCCATGGATAGGGTCCCTGTCCTAGCCTCTCCACAGCAGCCTGCGGCCCCAGGTCGTGTTTCCTGGCTGTTGGACTACCGTTTTCGCTAGGGTAGAGAACAGGTCAAACGGATGAGAGTTCAAGCTGTTCCTGCCTTCAGGTCTAATGCTAAGTTCCAAACCTAAATCAAACTGCACAGTACCACAGGGCTTTGCACAAGAACTGTTTTGATTATAGGAAGGAACAAACTCTGCAGTCCCTTTTTGCAGGCATTTCTATGATGGAGAACTGCAGTCTTCCTAGGGATGCTTCTGCTTGTGTACAGAAGTTAGGACAATTCGTAAAACTCCGTTCCTGGGTTGGTTTACCTTTTCTGGTTTTAAATTCAGAAAGGCGGGGAGAAAATGAATAAAAATGTGGAAATTTTTCCGCATTTCTTGTTTTCCGCATCAGCCAGAGCTGCTGGTGACTGATTAGAGTTGCTTTCTCCCATTCCGCAGAGGGCTCGGCTCCAGCCTTCCCGCGGCGCTCTATCCGCACCCCCCCGCCCCCCCCCGCCCCGGTGAGGTCCGAGCGGGGGTGAGTTTTATTCCCCTGTGTGGGAAAGGAGCCCTCCGTCACCGTGAGCCCCAGGCCCTGGGCCACACTGCCCCCCAAACCCGTCCTCCTTCCTCCGCCCGAGGTCGGTCACACTGTGGACCTCTTCTCCCAGTTCTGCGTAAGGCTGCTCGGCCGCTCACCCGCCATTTCTCCTTTGCTGCCCACTTCGCTCTCATCTTTTCCCTCCTATTTGTTAGGCCTTTTAGGTCTTTGACCTTTTAAAGTTCAGCCAACCAGCTAATAATAATTTCATTTAACTCTGCCCAGCTTTAATGTTTGCTGTTTATAGCTATGCTGTTTGGAAATCTGTCTCTGTTTTTACTGCTGCTTTACAATTATATAATAAAGGAGAAGTAAAGACATAAAGGGTTGCATGTTTTTCTATTTCACTTGATTTTTAAATTTTTATTTTAATTTTGTTTTATCTGTTTTGAAACAAGGCTGCGTTACGCAGTCCAAGCCAGGCGTGAACTCACTCGGTAGCCCAGGCTAATCTCAAACTCACGGCAGTGCTCCTGCCTCGGGCTCCCGAGTGCTGGGACTACAAGTGTGTGCCACCATGCCTGGTCACTTTAGGGTTTTGGGACAAGGTCTCACCTAGTTCAGGCTGGCCTGGACCCATGGCAGTCTTCCTGCCTCAGCCTCCTGGGTGCTGGGATTACCACACCTGGCTTTCTGTTCCACTTGAAACTGCTGAAATGTTGGGCACCAGGATGCTGCTCAGTCAGATAGAGGCAATGTGTAACCAGAGCACCCACTCCAGATGCTGAACAAAAAAAGTGTGTTGGAAAATGCTGTAGGTAATTGACAGTGAAATTCTAATAGCTGGGTAATCTCAGGAAAGCAGGAAAAAGAAAACAACTGAAGGGCTGGGGATGTAGCTCAGTGGTTCCGGGGCCTGCATCACAAGCGCAAGGTCCTGAGCTTGATCCCCAGTACCAAAAAAAAAAAAAAAGAAAAAAAACAACTGAAGAACAGAAGACAAAAAATAAAATGGTCTAGTGACATGTGCTTTTAATTCCAGTTTCTCAGGAGGCTGAGACAGGAAGAGCGGAGAGGATTGCTTAAACCCAGAAATTCAATGCCAACTGTGGCAACATAGTGCACCCTATCTTTTAAAAAGAAAAAATTGTGAAATGTGATCGAGTATATGTTATCTCTGAGACACTCATTTCAGATACAACGACAAGGCAGGTTAGGAGAGCAGATATGGAGACAGATGCATGGAGCGCAGCCAGTTATACAAGCAAGGGGAAATAGCTCTGCTCAGATTGGATTAGGGAGATCCCCGAGCCCAGGGAGGGCACACCCACACATGGGGTGCTGATATGACATGGTTCAGCAACTTGGGGAAATGTTTTGTGAGTTTCTTAAAAACTATTTTGGTTTTTGAGACAGGGTTTTGCTGTGTAGTTTAGGCTGGCCTTGAACTTTCTGACATGATTCTCCTGCCTCAGCCTTCTAAGTGCTGGGATTGCAGACGTGTGTCACCATGCACAGCTTAAACATGCAGCTAATTTTGTGTGATCAAGCAGTCAGACAGATGAAGGCTATGCTCACATACATTCTTGAACACAAATGTTCATTTCCCGATAGCTGTGTTTCTAAGAGACAGAGCCTAGAGTTCTCGCCACGTGACTGTCCCATGGCACATCCATTGCATGGGACACCATTCAGAAAGAGAAGGCACCGTTAGTACTTGAGTTAAGCTGATCGGATCACACAGAATAGCAAACCGAAGCCAGACTCAAAGGTTGCATGCTGATGTTCCACTTGGGAACAGACAACAGAAACTGAGAGCTTATAGGAGTGGAGGAAGGTTGATCCCTGAGGAAGTGTATATGGCTGTAAAAGGGCAGCGTGGTGGGTCTGATAGACAGTAGACACGTAAGGATGGGGCGTTCTCTGGCTCCTCTGTACAGCAGTGTCCTGACTGCTAATGTAGATATAAAATGTTGAAATTTGGAGAAAAGGTACGGGGAGTCTTCTGTATCATTTCTTACCATTGCACACAAAACTGTAATTTTCTGAAAATAAAAACTTTACTCTCTTCCTTAGGTCCACAGCTGGCTTTTGTTTAACAGTTAGGGTGTTACAGTGGTTTAAATATATCCATACCATACTTTTCTATTGTTACTTTGTATTTTAGCATACTAGTAGCCAGCTATGTATCTTAGTACGTTTCCCTGGGGGATACAGGAAGCAATCTTTGTGTTTACCTACTTTGTGAGAGAACAGCAAGGTTTGTGCACCTGTACAAAATGTCAGACTTGGATTTTTACCCACATTATGCTCTGCCTAACAGGTTTGGTGAATGTTTACCTGAGCATCACAAAGGGTATAATATACCACACCACTCTAGGATTTGTTTTTTAAAAAAGTTTTCTTTTGATTTTTCTGGTAGAAGTAGCCCAATTCAGTACAATGGGATATGAAAAACCAGATCTGCAAGTTTTAGAGGAGGTCAAAGTGAATCATCAGATTACTCATGCATTGATGAAGATCATCTATTATGGTAAAATACATGTTTTCATAACAGAAGAGTGAATGATGATAATGATGTTGACTTTGATATTGACCACAAGAGCCAAAGTTCTTGTGACAGTGAAATGGAGCAAGAATTGACTTACACAGATACAGGGAATGCACACCTTCTTGATTCAGGTGACAAATCAGCAATGTGAGTGCATATTTGACTAGTCGAAATGCTGCAAAAATGGTCACACAACCAAATGAAATGATCCAGTGTTAGAACCAGGTCTGAAAATATAATGAGGACCTTGACAGTGGGGAGTCCTTTTGAGGAGAATACCAGCAGTGCCCTTCAGTGTTGAAAATTGTAACAGGTGAAATGCTAGAAGATGTTGTGAAATGCACAAAGGCTGAAATACAAGTAAAACGTTCTTTATGCAACAATAGCCATACTTAGAAATGTATTCACCTAACTAGCTGAACTGAAAGCATTATAGGTCTGCTGTACTTAGCAGGGCTTTCTCATGGTTATCATAGGAATGTAAACAACTTATGGAAAAGCAATGGGTGTGGGCTTGAGCTTTGTAGAATAACAATGAGACTGAGGAGATTTGGTTTCCTTCAGAATTGCTGGAAGCTTGATGATAAAACTACCTGCCAAGAAAGAAAACTGATAATCTGGCTGCTATCCCTCATTGTTTGACAGATTTGTGAGTAATTGCCAAGCAATTATACACCATCTTAATACTTGACTCTTGAGGAATATCTTGCAGTATTTCACGGCCACTGTAGCTTCAGAGAGTACATGCCAAAAAAGCCTTCAAAGTATGGCATAAACATTTATGCCCTTGTAGATCTGAAGATTTACTATACTTTGAATTTAGACATTTATCCTGAAACTCAGCCACCAGGTCCTTATTTATATAGTGATAAAACGAATGATGCTGTAAACAGACTTGTTGCTTACCTCTCCCAAACTAATCTGAATGTGACATTCCATAATTGGTATACCAGTTTCCAGTCGATGTTACAGTTGCTAACAGAGCACAAGTTGACCCACATAGGAACTATACACAGGAACAAAGCAGAAATTCCAAATGAAATGTTGCATTTTCAAAACAGAACTGTATAGTACAGTCTTTGGATTTCAGAAAGATTTACATTGGCCTTGTATATGGCAGAGAAAAACTGGTACTGCTGATGTCAACATTGCACCTTGATGGAAGTATTGATAGGGAAACCTCAACAAAATGGAAGCCTGAGATGGGAACTTTCTACAACAAAACCAAAAGCAGAGTGAATTTGTTCATGGGTTATACAGCAACTATGATGGCACTTGAACCCCAAAGCATTGGCCAGTGGTTGTGTTTTACTAGATCCTAAATGTGTGTGGCATAAATAGTTTGATAGTTTACAAAGAAAATGACAAGTGCAAAATAGGGAGAAATTTTCTTAAGAGGATTGGGACTGGAACTCATAAGAGATCATTTACAGCAGAGGAAAAACAAAATGTTTCTGCCCAGGGAGAAATTTGTGGAGCGCACTGGTGCAATGACAGGTGAACAGGCAGGTGCAGCATCCCAAAGACCTGCTATGACAACAAGAAAACCAAAACGATCTCACCTGTGCCCTACAAGAAAGGACAGGAAAACAAAACGTGGTAGCAGTGTGTTACTTGTGAAACATGCAGTTTTCATGTGTGAATACTGCCTTGGGTGTAATGGTTGAAGGAAAAATAATTTCTGTTGTTGAGTTCTATTGGTATTTTCATTGTAGTTCACATAGGTGTTTATTTCTGATGTTATCTTAGGTTTTATAAGCAAGTAAACAGCTGTTGTGAGATTATTAATACTTTCATACTTTATGTTTCTATTATCTACACATTGCATAATAACCTCCTGCAAAAACAGCAAGATCAGTGAGATGTCAAATGTGTCTTACGAAAAGGCCATGAAAACAAAACACACAGTCAATGTAAGCCTGTGTGTGTGTGTGTGTGTGTGTGTGTGTAGCTGTTGTCACGTGTGAAGACTGCCTTAGGGGTGATAATTGAAGTAAAGATTTTTTTTTTGTAGAGTGCTGTTGGTATTTTCATTGTAGTTCACATAGGTGTTTTTTGTTTGTTCTTTTGTTTGAGGGATTTGCTGGTGGTTGGTTTCTTTTGGGTTTTTTGTTTGCTTGTTTGTTTTTGTGGTACTAGGGGATCGAACCTTGTGGGTTGCAAGGCAAGCACAGCATCACTGAGCTAAATCCCCAGCCCCACATAGGTTTTTATAGCTGGTGTTCTTTTTTAAAAGACTTTGTACACCAGAAACCAATTGACATGAAAATTTTGATGCTTTTTTATAAACATTCAAATATTTAAAATGAGGTACTTTCTGATTTTTTTTCCTGTTACAACACTCATTGATTAATAAAACTCAGTTCATCAGTAGAAACATTCTAAAGAATAAATGTGGGTCTGACACACCCATGTTCGTGGGCCTTTATGATAGAAAATGTGTTGTGGCCCTGGGCGTTATTAACCTCTTCCTGGGTGACGTTGACGTCCATGTCCTTAAACAGGAGTGGGCGTGGCCACCCCTGCCTCGACCCCTGGACTCTGGGGCCTGGGGTGTAACGCAGGGTGGAGGCCTGGGGTTCAGCCCCTGGGTACTTAAATGGGAAGCGCTGTGGTTTCCTCCGACTTAGTTTCTCTGAACTTAATTCTAAACGTGTGGGTGGGTGAGACGCGACTCGCGACACAGGTGTCTTCTGCCTTCCTGGTTTCCTCCTGCCCCTGTGGCTGCGCCTTCCCTCTGACCCCTGCGGTTTCTTCCCACAGGTGCTAAGGCTCAGAGGGGCCAGGTGTCCTCGGCCTGACACCCCCGCCCGCTGTGAGACACACTCTGCTTTAGGCCTTTGTCGCGTCTGGAGTTTCCACCTTGGGCCGGCAGCCCAAGGCTCCTCCCCTCCAGTCCCGCCAGAGGCCACTCCCTGAGGTCTCCTGTGTCCACCTCTTCCCTCGCTCCAGGGCTCTTCCCCGCACCCCTTTACTTTTCCTCTGGGTCCAGATCGAGTTTCTCTTTCCTTCTGAATTTGTGGGCTTGTTTGCTCTCTCTGAAGGCAGCAGTTGTGTCTGTTGCTGATCTGTCTCCCGTGTGTCCTGCCCAGAGCCCAGGCAGGGAGGTGGCAGCCTCTGCTAAGAGAGAGTGGATACTTCGGCTTTGGGGCCGGACTTGGGTCACAACTTGAGGGAGGAAAGCTGGAGACAGGAAGGAAGTGAGTAGGTGTGGCTCCCGCGGACTGTTCCTGAACACTGAAGTCTGAAAGCCTCCGAGAGGCTGCTCCCCAGCACCTTCTCAGCAGAGAAGCCGCGTAACCGATCCCCATCATGTTTATGGTCATTTTTATGCTGAAGGTGATTTTTTTGTTGGTCTGCATGGAAATCTTACTTTTTGCAAAAGTTGAGAGAAAACCTAGGCTTTGACAGTAGAAGTTAATGTATTGTCTGTCTTTGCCCTAGGCAGACATTTGAGTTTTCATAGACTGTTAGGAGACTCTGACAAGGTATTTTTGAAAAGGTAACTGTAGTTTGTAGGTGGAATCTTGGAGGCTCATAAGTAAAGATGAGGTGTAGGAATTGGACTCAGCTTTTAAGATTTGTGCTGTTGTAATAATTCATATTAGGAATACAGCTGAACAGAAGGATTCATGTATTTCCCCATAGTTAATGTCAGATGTCACTTATAATTTCAGCTAGAAATTAATTTCATTCAGAATATTATTACTCCAGTTCTGTTGAGACTGATTATCTCACACAGTTAAGCTATGGATTGTTTTTACTGTTCCAAAACAATAACAATATATTTCATGTGGGTTCGTAAAAATGAAAATAAATCAGTTCAAAGATAAGCGTGATCAGTGAGTTGTAATCAGATGGGAAGATGCAAAAGTCCCGGAAAAGGTGTCCCTCTGCCCAGGAGCAAGAGAGGTGGCACCGGGCCTTGTGTCCCCCAGGAAGAGCCAGCCCTGCCACTCCTGCAGGACACATGCTCAGAGGAGAGCCCATGTTTGCACTGGTGGGCTCCTCGGTGTGTTTATTTACTTACATTGTAAAGAATGCGGACACCTCTGTTGGTGCCTGAGTCTTCACCTTTGATTTCTCACCGTCCCCTGCTGTTCTCTCTCTAGATATACCCGTGTTTCCCACGATCACAGCCACTGTGACTTTTCAGGAGTTTCGCTATGATGAGTTTGATGGCTCCATCTTTACCATCCCCGAAGACTACAAGGAAGACCCAAGCCGTTTTCCTGACCTTTAACTGACAATGAAAAAGCTGTCATGCAATTGAGAAAGGAACACAGAGATCCCAAAAGCGAATCCAAACAGAAGGGACAAATGCTTTCAGTGAAGACGAGGGAATTACGCATTGAATCGATGTATCAGTAATGAGTGAAAGAACCGGGCCTCTAACAAGCATTTCAGCAAGTTTCCTGATGTGCCATTTTCAGTCTTTTTAGAATCTCAAGTATAATAGTTGACACTGTACTGACCCCAAGACCTTTGTATGTAAAGCAGC